CAGCCGACCCCCAGTTTTGCACAGGCCAGAGTGGATCAGGACCGGGGTGTACACGCACGGCATCGCACGGATCAGATTTGGGCACATCCCAAGGGACATTAATTCTGACGGACCAATCGAAATGCAAACGCGCCAAAAGAGCCCTGAGGAGAATTCAGGACTGATGGGCAGGCCCACCTACCGACCCTAAGTAACTGTGCCACGACTCCATAACACCTAGGCACAGTACAACCTCGTTTTCGGTCCGCCGGATTCACAATTAAAAAAGTTTTTCGGCAGCTCGCAAGATTACTGTGGTTTGGGTGTGCGCGTGTGAGACTACCTAGTACGCCACCACGGTCTTGTTCGCAGGATCCCCGAGGGCTGGCCTTTTTCTCCAATTCTTGACTCGATACGCCGTCTGTAACACTGAGACACGTATGCTGTTTTCATCTCGATCATGAACGGAAGAGTTGGGAGCAACCATGGGTTCGCGTCATGCTGCCTGCTCTTGCAGGGGACCCCGTCTCCATTCATGCCACGCTTAAACTTGATTAGTTTTCTTCTGCAGCACCCACATGCATGATGTTCATTGTGTGGTTGCAGCCCTGCTGGCTTCTCGTTGCAAACTCTAGTTAGGGGGAGCTCTTGCTGTTGCGAGATGAGTTTTCTGCCTATCAAGTCCTCGCTAGAGGCTTTTGCTGAAAATGCAGTTGATCCAACCCATGACCCTCTCTCCGACAGAATTCTTCTCCTCAGACATTTCCGATAGCCGGGCGGAGTCCTCCGCCCCTTGTGGATTCTAGGTCAAATTTAGGGATTGACTCGACTCAATCCTCCTGTCTCTTGGCTCTCCTCACAGGCACCGAGAACAGAAGCCCACGGAAGTCGATGTCTCGTATACCTGTGTGGTCTGCGGCAAATCTAAATGAGGACATGTGTCAACAGAGGATGGGAGTGATGACGTTGGTCGAATGGTGGAACCGAGGCGTGATTACGGAGGATCCGGCCGGTGGGAAAACTCGCAGTAGGGGTTGTTGAAGTGCGTTGAGTTTCTAGCACCAAACACAAATGCACTAACTCGAATCTCTGCAGTGGCAACAGCAAGCCATGACCGCCGGCACACAGTAGGCACGAGGACAGGTCAAGGGCAACAAAGACAAGTCCTTGTCAAGTCAGCCTGGCCATCCATCCCACAGCCTGGCTGCATACGGTGGGCCTACTACTAATAGTACACAGGTTTGTTGCCCTAACACGAGCACGCACGAGCAATTTTGGAGGATGCAGGATGGTTGTTCTGGCCCCGCCGGAGGCACCTCTTGCACATCTCAGCCTAACTAGTTCCTGTCCGTTCGTCGATCACATCCTACCAGGCATCATCCCTTGGTCCAGTCTAATCATGGGGACAAGTCTGATCAACCGAGACCGCCAGGATAGGAAAGGATGAGCTGATGCACCAGCTCTTGACAGGCTGGATCATCCATCGCCTTGGTGCTCCTGTAAGGGAGTTAAATTCCAACCCGTCCAAAAAGTTCTTGCAGCGACGACAAAAGATCCCAGCACTTCAAGCTTTCTTATTTGACACAGCGACAGTCGGGTCAAACGACCACGTATCTGCATTGACAGAAAGCTTCGTTACTAACTTCAGTGGCAAGGCATCTGACACAGGCAAATTTACGTGCTCAACCTCGAAAACAGAACGATCTTGGGATTGATGCTCGATCGCTTTTCCTTCTTGAGAATGCCCAGGAACTCAATCGGGCTGCTCTATTTTGCACATTTTCATGTCCCGAAGCCACGCAAGGCAAAGATTTGCCATTGAATGAGGCAGTCTGTTTACCGAGCATCGCAGACTCTTCCACTGTACAGGCTGATCAATGCGGCCAAGCACATGGCTCGCATAGAGCATCTTGAACAGACCTACTGTGGACAGCCTGCAGGTGTCGGCGGACCATGAATTTTGTGCTGAGCAAGTCTTATTTGCTCGACTGCCTCGATCCTGCTAACTGGTTGACTTGTTCGGAAACGCTGCTCTCCTGGCAAATTCATGCCCAGCATTTCCCCCAAGGCCAATTGCTACCCTAGCTTCTGCGGACATATTCCTGCCAGTCTTTGACAGATGCTTTTGATGCTTTCTACTACATCCTTTTTGTCTTCTTCGGCTCACTACCCGGCCTCTTGACCCGTGTCGAAATGCATGATCGGCTCAGTCACTCAGTCAGGCAGTCTTCCCACAAGACCGTTTGTCCGCCTAGTTGTTTGCCACCACCCAGTAGCTTCCCTTTTCAATTCAATGTCAATCAGGTGGCAAGATGCCATGCGAGCAGGGTTGTTTGGCGATGTTTGGACTACCCACAGCATGCTCTTTGCATTTCACCGCTTTGGGTTCCCTTGATCGTGATCTCCTACCCTAGACTTACCTTCTTGAATGGAAGCGCCGGCTACGCGTCGATTGAGTATACCGGCTGACCCGGCTCGTTGTTCGCCATCATCATGACCATCATCCCCGTTGATTCATGGTTCAGGCGAGGGTATGTGAGGGACCCTGGTGATTATGCGGTGTTCTTGACGTCAAGGAACGGCAGAAGAAAACCCAGGCTCACCTCACCAGACAGTTTCACTCGGGGTTCTGTGCAAATTGGTGCCGCTTATCATGACCACTAACATTGACCGCCCTTAGGGAATTGGCCTGCTGTGCCGTCCATTGCCCCAGCGACACTGGACGCTGGGGGTACATCTAGAACGTTTACCCCGCTCATTGACAGGTATCACATGCGAGAGAGAAAACGAAGGTCCAACATGTTCCCACTTGCCCGGCACCTTCGATTACTGCCTAGCACCATTCATTCCCCACAACCAACCGCCCCAGCCGCGAGTGCTAACGCAGCCTGATATCGACCCAACCACTACGTAGATACCAAGGACTCTGTCTCAAAATCCCTTCAACCACAAAAGGTCCAAAAAGAAATTATTCATTTCATAAAAAGAAAAGAAGACCAAAAACAATCAACAGCCAGGATTCCCACCTGGTCACCCACGGTGGTACTAATTGACCGGCATATGGCTTAAGTACGGCTGAGCGAACGGGAAGCCCTGTTCTCCATATCCTGTGGTCGATTGCGGGAGAATAACATGCAAATGCGAATTATATACCACCTTTTTCCACTAGGGATTTTGTTTGAAAGAAGACAGCGGTTGAGTTGTTCGAAGGCCGTCCTTGATGGAGTATACGCTTTTGCCTCCTTTTTGCTTTCTACTCGAATCTCGCTCCTCGCGTCTTTTCTTTGTATTCAACTCCCGTTTGAAAGGGAGGATTCATGGCATGGGACGGCACAAGATATGAATCATGCCGCTCTAACAGAGTCGAAAGCTTTCATCCCTCTCAGAACATTTGTCACGGCGACATTGGTGGGTGGTTCTCGCACAGTCACAATCCACTATCGCAACCGCAACCGCAATTGCAATCGCAATCACAGTCAAGTCACCTTCTCACCCTGTCCCAGGTTTCAAGGTCCATCTAGTCCATGGGAGACCATTTCCGCAGTCTTGACAAGAGACGCTCTGAAGGCACTCTGGGTAATGGTGAGAGCCTCGGATTCCAACAATGAGCACATAAGTATACTCGGTACTCGTCAAGGATACTGCTGGAGTGCTCCAAATTGTCTGAACCCGTGTCCCTTCCAGGCGTCTCTTCTCCTTATCGACCTGCCACTATATATGAGTTATCATGGATAGGGACACTCTAGAGAAACAACCAAGGGCGTGTGGCATTCACGCGGCTTTGGTCTTGGACACCTGGGTGCGTGACAACATTGTTTGCCCAGCCTCGTGCAACGACTCGGTCCACCTCGAAGTTTCGTCTGACCTGGTCTTCATTTCCCTCTTTCCTCGTTCCCCATTTTCTCTTTCCCTTCAGAGCCGATCTGTGCATATACCAGATGGGAGCATCTACCCACCTGTATGTAGAAGCCTTTATCACCGTAGAAGACGCGGTGAGCTATGGTGGAATTCCCCATCTGGGAGTCGTGGGCGCTTGGAGTTTCGACCTTTGCTGGTTTTACATGGAGCACCAACCTCATTGAACAAACACCAATCAATCTTCCGCTCGATATTCGAATCATATCCTTCTCTAGTTCATTCGCGGCCGGGACATTGAATGCCATAAGCATGTTGGTGGAAAGCGTACAGACTCCGAAGTGGAAAACATAAGGCTCGAGATGTTGCCAGGGGGTGCATGTTTATTGGGGGAATGAATACTGCTTGCGACTCTGAGAGCGGTCGAAGACGAGAAGCCAACCCTCAACTTAAGAGGTCCAGCAGTGAGAAAATACCCCGAAGTACCTAGAGAAGAGAAGCGTCCAATGCAGAAAATCGGTGACACAGGAGTCGCAGAAGATCAAGACGGAAGGGGAACCAGGTTCTCGACATACAGCAAGAACTCTCTCGATTGCAGAATTGCAAGAAATAGCAAGTTTTCTCCGGGAGGCCGAGGGGGATGAATAGATCGAAAGACTTTGGGAACGAAATCACAGCGTGACCAGACTCGTCTCCGGGCTGGAGAGTCAGTGGGGAAGATGGAAAACAACAGGGCGAACGCCCAACTCGCAACAAGTCCACTGGAGTGACAATGTGATTAGCATGGGAACAAGCTCAATTTCCCAACCGGAGCAAACAAAGACCAACAGCTCTGCAAGATAGACGAAGAAGAGCGATAGCAGCGAAAGCAAACCAGCTTTGATTCGGTTGTAGCTTGGCGAGAGGTGTAGGAAGAAGCCTCTCGCAGCACTAAGATCAAATGTCACAACCAGAGTGAGCAGAGTAGAAGTGGCTGGTTGACGCCCAATAAAGATGTGTCCGTGTAGGCCACTTTGTCATCCAATTCCAGAGTTACTTCAGGCTTTGCCAGCTGTATTTTGGTCGATTGACATGCTCCTCCATTAATTATCCTGCCTATCGGTCAATTCCCGTGAAAGGATGTTAGATTCACCTTCTTGACATAGCTTCATCAGTGCTCCTCCATTTCAACCCAGCATCTCAACATCAAGGCCGATGGCTCTCATGAACAGGTTGACGTTCCCGAGTCGAACGCTTGACATTTCGGCTGGTAATGTCTTGCTTTGGAGAACTGTCTCCATGACTCTGTCTTTAACACCGATGACCAGCCTCTGTTGTTGGTCGGGGCTGGCGCATATGCCGATCGCAGCCAAAAATTGCCAAACGTACATATCGTCACCAGAGTTGACCGGACCAGGGAATAGTGAACCAAGAAGAGGCTCCAACATATCAAAAAGGCGACTGTATAACATGGTCCATTGTTGCCAATCCTGGTCACTGACCGACCCAGCCTCCTTCACCAACTCGGCGCGCGTCAACAGCATCGTCAGCATACCAAGCCCAATCTTGGTTTGTGCAACAACCGAGATGCTCGTGTGATCGATGAGAAGTCCTAGCAATCCGGTGATAATATTGACGGGTGCTTCGCTAACATGAGATAACAAGCACGGCATCACGGCTTGTGAGAATAGCTCGATTTCTTCCCGCACGAGTGGCGGAGGCTGTGATTCACCAGGTGCAGGGCGGGCGTCCTTGACCACATCAAGCTGATCGAGGTGGACCACAACCATCGTCAAGATGGTCAGTCTTTTGTCCTGATCAATCTGATGGAAGACACGCGGAATAGCCTTCTTGCCTTTGGCAAATGACAGAAAAGCAATGAAAGGGTGAGGAATGGTTGATCCCGGAACTATAGGATCCAGAACCTTGAGATCTTGCCATAGAGTGTTGCCGAGCTCCTGCTGCTTGTGTCGCCATTCCAGATGGGCCTGAATGGAATCTGCATCGCCCTCAGTGGGCGGGGGTGGCATTTGTCGTTCATGATCCTCCATGCGCATCAAGGTCGCATACACCGCTTCGATGTTCTTCAGAATCGTTTTGCGGTCACTTGCAGTTACGCCGTCTCCCTTTCTGGCACTTGTTGGCCGGGAGTCAGTGCCCTCCTGCCTCTTGATGTTGAGCAAAGGTTTCGGCGTCTTTGCATTGCTGAATGATATTTTACCCAAGCTACCTTCAATGATCAGCTGCTTATTCTTGGGTTTAAGCTTGGCAGCCTCAACGGCACGCTGAACTTGTTGCTGCATTCTCTGCATGTGGTTGTCTCCGTTGATCTGTTGGCGTCTGCCACCCACACGAGTACCCGTCTGGAACAGATAGGTCTGCGCAAAGTGGCCCAATGGCTGAGTAGGATGTTGTCTTGGAGCGCCGCGGATTTGGCTATAGACCTGGTAGTAGAAATCTTCATTGAGAGCAGCTTCAGGATTTGAGTCCACCGAACTACCCGTGGCCGCTACCAATTGCTGAAGCTGGATTCGAGTGATGAAATTCTTGTCCTGGGGCGTCATTAAGCCATTTCCCTTGGAAAGTAGGAAGATCTTGTGATTTCTCTTTGCTCTTTTGGCGTCTTCTTCCAGATACGCTCGTCGCTGTTCTTCAGACAGTTCCATTAGCTGTTGAGGATGAGTTATGATCGGCATGGCACCGGGTCCTTGGGGTCCGAGTGCTGGGATGTGTTGAGACCTGTCAAGGCTTGGCTGGGGTGAATGACGGGCCCTATTTGGATTCTGCAGAATCTGGAGAGGCTGCTGAGGTTGCTGAGGAGCACGTGGCTGTGAGGGCATGCGATTGTGGCTCCTAGGACCATCGAGAGGAGGTTGTGGTTGAGGCTGAGTTGGCATGCCGGGAGGAGGTCCCATGGCCGGATAGTGCTGAGGAGATTGTGAATGCATTGGCTGAGTTGGGAATGGATATGGCAGAGGTTGAGGGAATGGAAGCTGTGACTGCCTCGCTTGAGATTGGGCAAGAATGGCCGCCTCAACCTGTTCAAGGGTCATCATTGGAGGTTGCGACATGGGTGCCGGTGGAGGTGAGGGCGCACGAGCAGAAGGCAAGGCTGGAGCAGGGCTGCGAGCTGTACTGATGCGGTTCTCGCCAGTTGGAGGAGCGGCTGTGCTTGACTTTGTGCCCCAAGCCCCAGATTTTGCCTGAATATCTGGAATGTAACCCGGATCTTGATATTTCTCATAACCGGTCCTTCTGACCTTTGCGGGCTGCGCGGGCGCTGCTGGTTGGTGAGGGTGTTGCAAGGTGTAGCGCATATTCTCTTCATTGATGACATTTGAAACTTGTGCCGTTTTTCCAAAAAAGTCATAATCTTTTCCCACTGAGCCCTGACCGGTTGCGCCTTCGGCGCCGCCACCAAAGGTATCATCGTTGAAATCATCGCCGGCCTCCTCGAGTTGATCGCCTAGCCCATCGTAGGTATCTTCAAAGTCGAGACTGAAAAAAGACAGCTTAGAAACGTGAAGTCTTACTTGCAAAGGTCGAGACACTTACATGTCGTCCTGGTTGTCTTGAAAGGCCTGCAATTTCCTAGCTTTTGCGACTTCGGTGAAGGGGTTTGTGTGTTCAAAAATACCCTTGCCTGCGCCCTCAGGCTTGTCCCTGGGGAGGGAGGTGTCGAATCCAAAGAAAGACATGGGAGCAGACCTCTAAGTGAGGTTGAACTGATCAGATTCAGGAGTCTGGTTTTGTGATTTTCACCCCGCTGCAATCCACCTCTTTTCTCGACAGGGACCAAAGCGCACTGCCTCTTCGCATGATCCAGAAGAGAGAGAGGAAAAAAGGCGAATCAAGGATACTATGATATGGGCCGGGGAATATGGCAAACAGATTCCCACTTGTATACAGGTCAATGATCAAACGATAGTATTCTGAATGGCGAGGTGCTCGTGTTGATGGATTGTGGGATGTGCAGTATGGATCTCGTAAACGGCAGGTGACGATGGGATGGACAGCTAACTGCAATCGGTGACGCAGGCTTGTCTCGAACGGGCGAGCTCTGGCGATTGGTGGTGTCTTTGATGCTAAGCCTCTAACCTCTAGTTGCACCCTTCAGGGACCCCTTCCCGCCTAAACTGCCCACAATCTGCCCGCGCCTAGCCTGTTAGGCGGGCACGCAAGCCATCCCGTTACCCGAGTCCCAGCGCCCAGGGGGCCAGCTACCAAAAAAGCAGCCCACGTATTCAGCCCCATGTGGCCGACTGCTGCTAAACTGGAATTGAGGCGTTCCCTTTCTATCAAGGCACAAAAGTTTCCTGCAACACGTTGTCTCGGGGCTTGCGCGTCGTCCTGCGGCTCTCCCTTTTGCGAATTGAAATGTTTCCTCGACCTGCTTCACTCCTTTAACACCTTCACGGCTCTGAATGACGAGATTTCTTTGTTCCCAAACTCTTTCCCACCTTTTGTTTTCGTCTCAGTGTTGGGTCACTCAGTTTCACTTCGCCGACTAGGCCTCATGTCCTGATCGCTCCGTTGGTGGCCGCCGATCTTCCTCCTCGAGCCTTACTCGTATATTCAGTCTCTACTGCCAACACGACTACAGTCAGCACCCTAGTTCGCTTCCTCATACCTTAATAATACGGCCGATTCCTCGTCCAAGATGGCAACTGGTTCGGGGAGATATCTTCGTTATATACTGTTTGCTGTTTTTGTGAGTTACACGGAATCCGATGAGCCCAGGTCTGAGACATTGCATATTGACTTGACGTGAACAGGGAATCACCATCATCTACTTTATTTCCACCTCGTCACTCCCCTCCTATGCCCAACCACTGACCTCGGGTACCGCCTTTTCATGGGAACGACCTGGAGAGTCCAAGACGAGCCCGGTCGCCACCGATATCGATGATTCCATTCATCTCCCGCAAACCACTTCTGTTGCCGAGACCTCACAATCCGAAGAAACAACAACTCCCAATGTTATTTCTACTGTTCCTTCGGAACTCTCGCCCCCCGCTCCAGGCGAACGAGTCAATGCGACCTTTGTGACTCTGGCAAGAAACACCGATATCTGGGAGATTGCTCGCTCAATCAGACAAGTCGAAGACCGATTCAACAGGAACTACAACTATGACTGGGTCTTCTTGAACGACAAGCCCTTTGATGAGACGTTCAAAAAGGTCACAACATCCCTTGTCTCGGGCAAGACACACTATGGCGAAATCCCCGTCGAACACTGGTCATTCCCGCCTTGGATCGACCAGAAGAAGGCTGAGGCTGTCCGGGAAGACATGCGCCGGAGGAAGATCATCTATGGCGACTCGGTCAGTTATCGACACATGTGCCGGTTCGAGTCAGGTTTCTTCTTTCGTCACCCTCTGCTCCAACAATTCGAGTACTACTGGCGAGTGGAACCCAGCGTCGAGTTGTTCTGCGATATCCATTATGATCCTTTCCGGTACATGAAAGACAACAAGAAAAAGTACAGCTTCGTCTTGAGTCTTTACGAATACGTCGAGACTATCCCGACGCTGTGGGATAGCACAAAGAAGTTCATCAAGGCGCATCCTGAACACATCTCACCTGATAACTCAATGGGATTTTTGAGTGACGACGGAGGTGACACCTACAACAAATGCCATTTTGTGAGTACCCCAAGAAATCGTTTGCCTTTCCATTTCTAATATTTGGTAGTGGTCAAACTTTGAGATCGGTAACCTCGACTGGCTCCGGTCTAAGCCTTACATTGACTTCTTCGAAACCCTCGACAAAGACGGTGGGTTCTTCTACGAACGTTGGGGTGATGCTCCAGTGCATTCCATCGCTGCTGGTCTACTTCTGAGGAAGGATGAGATCCACTTTTTCAACGATATCGCCTACTATCATGTCCCTTTTACACATTGCCCAACGGGAGAAGACGTCCGATTGAAACTTCGCTGCCACTGCAACCCGAACGACAATTTCGACTGGAAAGGCTACAGCTGTACCTCTCGATTTTTTGACCTCAACAAGCTTAAGAAGCCTGACGGATGGGAAGCTCAGGTATGACTAACCGCCGGTAGTGTCGGAAGCCCGAGCAACAATAATGGAAATGGAAATGGTAACGGCGACAAGCAGAATGCATCGGATTCAGGTGTTTCTCTGTCATGGGAGATTTTCAAATATGCATGCTTAACGTTTAGCGCTGGATCAGTCTTGACGATTATCTTGATGAGAATTCCCTGGACGAGACGCAAGTTGCTTTCGTGGGCGGAGCGCCTTGCGGAGTGGCATGAAAGCGGACTCGACCAGGATGAGGATGAGGATTGGTACAAAAAGCCTGAAAGGAGTTCAAAGCTGGAGAACTCCGGGTGAGCGGTCACTAAGAGGAAATCAAGCTGTGGACCACTGCTTGCTGCATCTTGGGAATTCCTCCGTGTAGCGGGCCAGTTTTCCTTCTCCCAGAGACGTTGAAGCATCAATATGGCGCACCCAGCCCCTTCTTTACCCCCGGACACCGTTCGCAGCCTCGTACACATCGGAATTGTTCCTCTCTGGCGAAGAGGATTTTGCTCCACCAGGACAGATGGTCAACACCCTCGGTACCTTACATACTACGAGACACCTGTTGAGAGAGCGGACGATTACCAAACCTCCTTTCCATCAATGCGAACGAAGGGACACTGGGTCTGTTTGGAGAGCACCTTTTTAGCCCTTCATATGTTTTGCATCCGAGGCGTTGGTGAGTCGGTTGGGCTGGGGAATCAGAATCAGGGATTGGGTTACTTACGCATTGGAGGGATGGCTCGAAAAGGCTTTTATGGCCTTGAGGAACGAGATATGTTTCTCGTCTTGTCCCGTCCTGCACTGTAAAGAAATGAGTTGGAATGGACTGCCTGGTATTATTATTCATGGCATGGAGGGAAGGAAACCTGGAGCATAGGGAAACGACTTGGTACATTATTCAATTCAAGACGGAGACGCCTTGTCTGTATCTCTCTATCCCGTTTTCGGTCTCTCTTTATACTCGAGCTTGGCGTGGTACTGTACAAAAGATACATAACGTGTATAGATTGGAGGTGTTGTACTCCTGCGGCGGGTGCGCATCCAAAAAAGGAGGTGTAGGGTTCAGTGGATGGGTCGAAAGGAGACTTCCCATCCGCAGCATGATTGCAGCCCTTTGAATCGTGTGTTGAGAGCACCCCCCATTCAGATATTGTGACAGGCGAGTTGATTTCGCCTTGCTTCCCTCCAAGCCACCTTTCTCTCCTCTCACTCCGCATTCTGACCTCGGAACCAGGATGCTTTAATCTAGGTTCGACCCTGCCTCCGAAGAAGCCCCAAGCCGCGATCATGTCGTCTTCGGCTTCTTGGTGCCGTATTTGGATCGACTTGTCATTCGTGTAGGTACACCTCCCTGCAAAGCCAGAGTATGGCATCGTCAGTAAACGCGTTTCGTAGAGATCAAATAGCACACGGGTCGAGGGTCAAAGGCCTGCGTTCCTCGTTCTTCCTTATTTTTCCGATCCTTCTCTTCCTCGACATTGGCAAAGATGTAAGAGTAATCTCCCAACGCCACACATCTGCAAGCCCCGTAGGTATCCCAACGTAATACGCCGACATAGACGGAAAAGGCGAAGACTTACCAGATCAAAAGCCCCCCTGACCAAATGGTATCTGACACCGGGACAATCCTGACTCCTCCCACCTCTGACCAGCACAACACTGTGCTGCTGCACATTATGACCCTCCCCGGGGATATACGCGGAGACGACCCTGCCGCTCGATAACCTGACTTTGGCGGTCTTGCGCTGGCCCGAGTTGGGTTTTTTTGGTTTGGTGATGCCGACCTTGAGACACACGCCCTTCATGGCGGGTCGGTTGGCGGCGCTGAGCGCAGGGGAGACGGCGTGGCGGACTTTCTTGGGCTTGCGCGAGCCCAGGCGCGTCCGGATCTGGTTCAAAGTCACTGACTTGGCAGGCGTTGTCGAGAATGCTCGATGGTGCTGGCGAAGAGGGCCCGCGGCTCGGAGGACGGTGGGTGTGTGTTTTGAGGGGGCTGAGATTGTCAGTCGCGTGAGGGCGCGGAGAGCGTGCAGGGCCACAAGAGAGGGGACGGGATGCATATTGAAGGTGGGAGGAATTTGTGGTCGTGAAAGAGGGAGATGGAGAAGACCTGGATGCTGTGAGGACAAAATGTTGCTGAGATGCATTGAAATTCAAAGCTGTAGTTTTGGTGCAGGTAACACGGAGTTGGCACTAAGCCTAATCCAACCACAGCCTCGTTAATTACCCGCCGAGTCGAGTATCTTGACTTAGCAGGGTAGTCTATCTACCCCCTTGAACACAGCGGGATCCCTATGCTTTTTTCTAAACACTAGCTATCTCTGATCAGATCGTCACATTGTCGTTTTGAGCACTCTGTACCTGACTGCGCTGTTTCTGAAGTCCGCTCGCCGTCGAGCGCGTAAGGCTGTCGCTTATGTCGACTGATCGATTTTATTTGTGGACTTATGCAGGGCGTATTTGTTATCGCCTACCTGGTCAGCCTCACCAGAGCCTTTCGACTGATCGATCCTATTCGTGGAGCTGATGCAGGGCATATTTGTTGTCGCTTACCTGCTCAGCCTCACCAAGACCATAACATCATGGACAGGACACTCGAGTTTCATCTTCTTTTTGCGCAGCCTCATTTTCCTTCTGTCAAGTGTCTCATGTCGCAAAGCGAAGTCCAGTCGGCACAGCGTCCGAGTTCAGATCTGGGTCACATCACTGGGCATACTCGGTGCTTCAACCTTCCAAAGTGGATGCTGATTGTTCAGCTATGGCTTCTAACCCGCGACATCATGTTCAGCCTCCGGCAGATGCTGTTCCGAAGCGTTCGGCCCTAGGTGGAAGAGACACTACCGATACATCTCCCGAGGCAAGTGGGAGTCGCGACACGAGAGAGGATAGCAACCCAACGCACTTGGAGGACGTCCCATCCTCCACTAAATACCTTTTTAACCGCTACCCGGCGAAGGACGACGCGCGTGATCAAATTGCTCGACATGAGGCATATCAGCAGCCCTTCAGAGAGCTTCTGCAACACTCGCGTCGGGGGCGTGAGCTTCACGAGCTTCACGAGCTTCGCAAGCGTAAGGAGCTTGAGCGTCTGATATGTCAGCACCAAATATTGCTTCATGTGGATCAGGTGGATCAGGCGCTTCTAGAGCTTGAAGATAAGAAGCTCCCGGCGCCTCTAGAGCGTCTAGTGCTTGGGGCGCATCGAAAGTTTCAGGAGCTTCTAGAGGATGAAGATGAGAAGCTGCACGGGGCTCAGGAACGTCGAGACCTCGCAGAGCGTAAACTTCAGGAGCTACTGGAGCAAATACTTCAGGAGCTTCACTTGAAGCGTCAGCAGCTTCACTTGAACCGTCAGGAGCGTCAGGAGGGGGCGAAATTCAAAGCAAGCACTGGAGGACATATTCACACAGAAACTCCCAGCGAACAAGACATTGTACCAAACTTTCCACCTGAAAGTCAATTTTCTGGAGGACGGCGGTCCCCCTCACACCAGGCGCCGGTTGAGCATCAAAGACGTGTTCAAAGTGACCACTCGACTCACAGTACAACTGCTTCACCTACAGTAAAAACTTTACCAGGAACAAGACATTCGGACTTTGCACAACTCCCATTGAGTTGGAAAACCATTTTGGCAGTGCGCAAGGCTGTGGAATACTCAAAGATCGGCGGTGGCGTGACTATTAGTGTGTATTGGACGTTTTTCCAGTTCTTGGAAAAGCAGTTCGGCAAAGGAGATATCAAAGTCGATTCAATTATCACGGTAACCGGGTCGGTTCTCCGGGCACAAGCAACGACTTGCGGTGATTACATCCGAACAACGTGGTCACGCAATGGCCTTTTTTTTATTCGCGTACTCGAAGGCCTTTGGAAGTCCTATAGGGTGATGTGTGAAAAAGACAGGAGTCAGAAAGTCACCGGATTCACTATACCGTGTGAGGACGGGGAAAGTCAGAACGACACAGGGCTCAGTATACCGTTTGAGGATGGCAGGGGTCAGAAAGTCATCTGTCATATCCTTAAAAGTGGGAGCTTGGTGACAGTGGAAGCCAGCAGAGCTAAAGAGATGATGAGGGAGCTCGTTCTGATGCTTGCCTGGGCCGGCGCAGCATTTAGTTCTCCTCCCGACGATCAAAACATCGCCTCCTGCCGCGCGGAACTCCTATTCTCCGACACAGGGGAAATTACTTTGTCCTTTCACAAGAAATCACTGTCTGAGGATGTCAAGGCCTGCTGGTTACCGCTCTTCTCGGGAGTATCGATCGCATACGGCTTTCCTATACATCCACGGCAGGAAGAGGTCGGACTCGAAATACCTCTGCAGATTCTCGCCGCTCTGTTAGGCGCCGTTCGCCCTGTCGAATATCAGGGCGGAGTAGTTATCAAGGGGTTTTCTAGCATGATTATACCCATCGAGAAAAGAGGTGAAATTGTCCAATGGCACCTAGTGGCCAATGCGGACCGTGAACAGCGCCTCTCATATCGTGATGGTCTTGCACGCTGCCCGCAGCGGGCTTTGGTGGACCAAGTGGACTTTGAATGCCTTCAGCAGACTCGTGCAGTGCTTGGCTGGTGTTCTGCTGCCCGTTGTTTGCTAGGTAGCCATGATGCCAACTACAAAACCATCGAATACTCGAGTGCTATGGAGGCCGGAAGGTCGCTCAATTTTGCAGGAGGAACCCTGGGCTTCCAGCAATTTGGGGTGGCGCAGCTCGATTTCAGCCTTGGGCCAAAGGACGGAAAATGTCACTTCCAGCGAACTGGTCCTTACCAGAGAATAGTGAGTGTGGCAGAAAAGACCCGGGTTGTCCTCTACGACACGTCGGATCAACGGGGATGGCTTGTTCCTGCTTCAGAAGTCATCCTGCACATGTGTCAGCACCGGCATCAGATTGAGCCTTTCGAGATCGGCGGTTCACCAGTTCTGCTACCTTGCACCAGAGCTACGGGACAGTCTGCTAAAGATATACTTCTTAGCAATGCATCGCTGGATCTCTGCGACCCCAGCTCCGAGAAGTACACCTTGAAGGACCTATTTTTGAACTACTGGACACTACTTGAGTTTCTTCTAGACCAAAACGTGAGAAGGGATCAAGCTTCAAGCAATGAGATGCATATGCCTCTGCACGAGGTGCTCCAAGGCTATGAATACATGTCCGTGGTTGATGAGCGCTCTCCCTTTCGGACAAAGCAAATAGCCCTCAGAAGGACTTGTGGTGGCTGGCCGGCTCTAGCACGAGATGTGGATGCTCTGGTCCTTTTCGCTAGTGGATTCGGAGACATATTGCGTCCTCTGGAAGATGACCAGTCTCATCATATGTGCCGCAAGTGGCGTCGTATGCCCAAGGGACAGGGCTATCTCGCTACCACTATCAAAATCCTACAGGACCTCTATGAAGTTGCTGGCAGTCGGCTAGACCGAAAATACCTTACTTCAACTCATCTACGGTGGGTGCAGGGTGACTCAACGTTGTTCGGGCCTTGCGCCTCTCCAGGAGCATTCCGCTGTCACTGCGTCCGTGTCCAAAAGATTGTTCAAAAGTCGCTCTTCTCGCACAGGATCGACACAACAGGACCCCCAGGCCCGGTCCTTGACGGGTTCGAGAACGGTGCGGTAATTTTTGGACAGTCTGATTATGCTCCTACCAATACCAGACCCGCGTCCGACAAGCCTAAAACGACTGGGATATACAGCCAGCCAAACTTGGTCTTTGTCGCTGCCGGTGAAAGAGAACCGCGTCAAGATGACCTGCGAGGTTCTACTGACCTTGAGTATCCATTCTGGGGAGACACTATCTCAGCTTCGCAGCCTTTTCGACCGGAGACTGCGCCTACGCACGGTTTTGTTGCAGGAAGGAGTGCCTCTTCATTACAGTTGTCCATGGCCAGACTTTCTGCGCAGCAAGTGTTAAGGACAGCAGAGGAGACCGATATTCCCATCCGTCTCCAGTACGCAGAAGGGCATTCATCTCCCAGACAATGGGGTGAAGCTCACTCGTACGGAAATTCCCCAGACCATGAAGGGGTCGAGGAAGTGCCCGTGCAACGACCAACAGCTTCGCCGCCTGAAAGCCGGGAATATTACGAGAACTATTCTGAACCTCGATACCTCGCCAGAGCCGAACATACAATCGGGCATTCCTCGCGCCCCCATGGCCGAAACACGAAGGAAAGATCAATGCCAATCCGATGCACAGGCCATCATCAGCATGGGGGATGAGCAGCCTGGCCTGCCTGGAGTACGACGACGGGGGCTTCCTGGAAGGCGCGAATCCTGAGCAGTCCACAGTTCTGCAGGACTTGTACTCTCGACGGACCTGCCGCCTTCTGACGACGGCGTGGGACAGAGATGACTCCATTACGACATTACCTGAAGAAGCGGCAGGTCGTAGCTGCTGCCGTTACGGACGTTGCGACAGGTGCTGTATGGATTTGTGTACGTGGCCAAGGTATTTCCTTTTACAAGGGTTGATTGAAATATGCGAGTATCTCTAAAGCATTTATCTATCTATATATTTCTCCGAAGAAAGATATATCCTCCCGATGCAGTAATCATCAAACTCAAGATGGTCCGGGCGGCCGCCATTCCGGGGACTGTGAAAGACGTGCTGGAGGGTGCCACAGGCAAAGCGCAGACATTAGCCCAAGAGTACTTCGACAAGCCAAGTCCTTCCCCGGGAGGAACACAGAAACAAAACCCATCTCCTATGATACCATCCGATACTATATGATTCCCCAGTGCCCGTCCTCTATATCGTGACACCCATCACATCAGAACGCCACCCACCCCCTGCTAACAAACAGGAGACATAGAGGCATTCAGTTCCCGGTCGTGGCTGAGCTCCCCTCTGGGAATTTTAATTCGTGCCTATCAAGGCTGGTAATGAATAGGTGCGAGATGGTCAAATAATCTCTCTTAAATACCAACCTAGAATGCCAGTATCCAGCCTCGCCCAATCTATCTATACCGCACAGCCTTGTCGTCCTTTCCACCAATCAATCACCCGGGGGTCTGTCTATGTTCTTTGCACGCACGTGTACCCCAGTACAGTGATTTCAAGAGACCTCCAAGCGCTATATATCCTTCACAAAGTCCATCGAAGAACTATCCGACCTTGCAGTGATTCAAATTGTACCGGGCGCAGCAAAAGAGGACGGGACACCATGCCTCAAAGTGGTGGTCCTGGGGTCCAGAATGCGGCTGTGGAGCTAACCGAGTCCTATACCTTGTCGTCCTCGTTGATTCTGACTCCCGCCTGACCCATAACCTCTCCTCTCCCACAGCCTGGGTCAGACGCCCACCTAAAGCCTCTATCTCCAACCTCGATGTCCATGAGGGCTCGCAGAACCCTGTCCCATGTCGTCCTCATTGATCCTGGCTCCCACCCAACCCAATCCATACCCCCTCCTATTCCCATCCCCCCGTATCAGGCACCCTTCTAACCCTCAACCTCGACCTCCTCCAATCTCTTCATCTTCCTCAGATCCTTCCAGAACCACACCTCGTCCACCAATCTCCCATCCCTCGGCGAATAGCCGTACTCGCGGACAACACCCAACCTCTCGTACCCGAGCTTCGGGTAGACGCTTTCGGCGCCGGACCCGACCTCGGTGTCGAGCATGAGATTCCACCTCCCCAGATCCACAGCCAACCCCTCAAGCCGGGCCATCAGCTGCCTGGCGATACCCCGACGGCGATGGAGGGGCGAGACGAAGAGTTTCTGGACGAGGGCGCGGAAGGGCCCCGTTTGGGAGAAGGGCGTGCTGAGGGAGACGACGCCGGAGATTTCCAGCTGCTGCTGCTGCTCCTGTTCTGGGTTCGTCGTCGAGTGGATGACGGGCCAACTCCGTCCCTCACTCTCCCACGGCGACGCCGGAACAACAACAACATCCTCCTCCCCCTTGGCTGCCCTCGTCGTCGCTGTGCGATCATCGGTCTTCGATACATGTATGAGAATATGGCGCTGGCCGCTGCTGACCTCTCGCAACCGCTCCTCCCACCACTGGTACATCTGCGCGTGTGACAACGGCGGCAGGAAAGTGACCATGGTGCCGTCGTTCAAGATGCACGAGCCGTGGAGGTGGACTATGCCATCGAGAATCGAGGAGATATCGGTCGTAGAGGCCGTCACGAGGTGGATGCCCGCGGAAAGAGGCTCAGACATCTTTTGTTTTTCCTAGTTGGCCCAGTGACCGCTGCACCCTTCGTACCACAGTTTCTTGGACCAGGGAGAAAGATCTGTAATAGATGACAGCGAATGCTGAGCTCACAACCACACTTGGTATTCGACTTGAATATCTGCACCGGGAATTCTCTTTCGCTAGTCTAGAGATCATATGCAAGGAAAGTTATGCTTTGTGTTGTACGCCTCTAACAAAAAAATATCTGGCAAAACGAGACCTGCTGTTCAAATATTAATATACCTACTCCAGACCGTGTCCCTCACCTTTGAAGTACCGAGTACAACTACCTACCTACTCCGGCATATATTTTGCATGTGATCGCAGGGCGCGTTCTTTGTGATTGGGACTTAAGCGGCTCGGCGGGTCCTTTCGATTGCAGAAATATTGATTATTCAACACAAAATGCCGCGGGCTGAGTGGCCGATTTTTCACGACCGTCTAGAACTAAAGCATTAGTTCCAGGCAACAGCCAGGCAGAACAATCAAGGGAGGATCTCGCCCACGTAGGATTCGAGTTTGGAGAAGACCCGAAACTCGCCAAAAGGGGTCAGGTCGGCGGAGAAATGCCTCATACGGCAGGCGAGAGCGAGATAGCGAAAGGCGTAGTTTTATGGCAGCGTCTCTCAAAAAGACAATAGATTCTAACGTCCAGCCCCTATCGCGAATGTCCGTAATAGGCTATGGCACCACTACCGCATCCGTCTTCGTGGAAATCGATCCATACTTGTCCTACCATCCCCAGAGGGCATCTACGAGTATAGTCTTGCAGAAGTGCGGACCGCGGAGGTACGACATGTGTCAAGACAAGCATTTCCTCGGTTTTATCCTGGGGAAGATCAGTCCTCCCAATAGCCATATCTTTCGTATTTGAACGTGAAATCTAATTGTCCAGCACTATTCCTGGGGCATTCTCAGGCCTAGTCGGCTCAACCCTGCATTTCCAATCCACCCGTGCCATGGATGGTTTCGCCTGTGAAATACGATCCCAGAGGTGATGCTAGAAACACGTATGCTGTGGCCATTTCAACGGGCATACCCGGTCGCTGGAGTGGTGCCTCCTGGACTCCCAGCGCACTCATTGCTTCCGGAGGGTTTCCTTTCGTAGCAGGTTGTAGCGGCGTCCATCTATCATCGCAGAAAGAATGTTAGCTATCCGTGAAATTACGACAGAAAAGAGGTGGCATGAGAGAGCTGTAGTGGACGTACATGATTCCAGGTGCAACGGCATTGACCCTGATACCCTTGGGCGCCAACTGCTGCGCCAGACTTCTTGTGAATGTGGTGATCGCCCCCTTTGTCGAACTATAATCCAAAAGTTGAGGATTGCCCATGTATGCAGCCACCGAGCTCGAATTGACAATGCTCGATCCGCGCTTCATATGGGGCAGTGCATATTTGACCATGGCAAACATGGCCAGGATATTGGTGCGAAAAGTCTTCTCCACCACCCCGAGATTGATGTCTTGAATGTCGTTGCAGATCTCTTGCATGGCTGAATTGTTGACGAGGACCGAGAGCTTGCCGAATTTCTTCATGTGTGCCTCGACGATCTTCTTGCAGTTCTCTTCCGAAGTGACATCCAGGGCAAGCGGCTGAGCTTGGCGGCCTGCCTTCTCGATCTGAGCCTTTGTCCATTGGGCATCTTCCTCTTCTTCTGGAAGATAGACAAAGGTGATGTCAGCACCTTCACGAGCCATGAGCACGGCAACAGCTCGTCCAATGCCAGAATCCCCGCCGGTCACAATCACGGCTTTGTCTTTGAGCAACCCCCGGCCTTCATAATCTTTCAGAAAGGGAGCCTTCCCTTCATCGTCCCAGAACTCGAGTTGCGTCCAGTTGGCGTGTGGCGCAAGTTTCGAATCCAGTCCTTTACCACCTTCTTGGTTTTGTTCCTTCAGCGAGCTTGCTGGATAGGCCGTTGGAGGGGCTTGTGGCTTCTCCGACATGGTGTTTCATCCGACTGTTAAAGTTGTCTGTGGTTGATCAATCGTAGAAGCGGTTGAGCCATTGCAAGACGCAAAGAGTCCGCGGGATTTATTCCTTCCATTGCCATGTGGACATGACATCAAGATGATCAGAGGAGGAATGCCGTCATCGACAAAATCATCCCACGAATCACCGTTGCAGACACGAGAAATCATGCTTTTATATCTCGGCGCTTGTTCCGACGGGCCATTCATCCTGAGCCTCGTTGAGCAGATCACTCTTCCTCTTTGTCGTGGGAAAAAAATCATCCCACGCGTCGAAGATGGCCGGGATTCAACGCCGCAACGGCCTGTGGGGCAGATTTGAATGTAAGGCTGGATCACTTTTCCGGATCCGATCGGCCAAACTCCTGTAGCTATGGCAGGATCGACAACAACAACGCCAATGATTCACCTGAAACCGCACGCAGCCCTGGCGGAAGAATTGACGTTGTGACAATTCGCTGATGGTTTGTTTTAGAATATGTATCGTGGAAAGATCTAATTGTTAGAGCATACGCCGCTCCCGTCACTCCGACGCGTACAGTGGCGACCAGTTCAACCGGCCCGCTCGGCCAATTTGCACAACTTGGCTTGTCAATGCTGCGCGCAGGGTGGAGGACAAAAGAAGTCGTATCCTGACTCGGAAAGGGCCTGGTGCTTGGACAAGCTCTGTTGCTTTGTCAGAATGAGCCTCGCTCTAGCATCCCAGGTCATTGGATTCGTCTCCTTCAGCATCACACTAGCAACCTTGTTGGGTGCGTACTCGAATCCGGAACGGACAGCTTCTGCTAGAGTCTCATGATATCGCAGGGGTGTACCGGGATCTTATATCCACAATGCGCAAAGCTGACACCACGATCCCACTGAAGCTGGGCAACCTTCGACAGGAACTCGAAGAAGAGAGAGCTCTCCTCCGCTATCGATGCCGCGAAGGTGACCCGTACGGTGTCTTCCCTTCCTTGCGCAAACGGACGCGGAAACAGCGGGAAGTGTCTCTGCTCCTCCAATCGTCAATCGAGAAGCTATGGCTACAGTTCAAGAATATTGAACGGCCATTCCTCATAGGAAATTCGCTGCGCGCAGAGCAGGTCCAGAGGGGCGACTACTGGGGTGAAAGCGATATCGAAGAGAAACCCCGTGCCAGACCAGATAAGACCAGGACAAGGGACCGGGTGGATTTGGCCGAAGCTGGATTGGCTCCTGACCAACAGCCTCGTTACTATCGGACTGATCTCGCCCATCGTTTCATCTGGTGGGCTCTGGCCCAGCGCCTTCACTTCGGATTAGACTGACTCGCGCTAGGTGGCAAAGTGTATCAGCTGTCGAGGACATGTTGAATCAGGTCCAACGTATTCAGATCCGCAGGATGGAGAGAGATGTATTTGAAACCGATGAATTGGTGAAGCGTTGCTTGAACACGCTAAAAGGCTCAGGCGGCCGTGGAAGAAGCGTACGTGGAGGCTTTAGCAGTAGTGGTGGTGGAAGTGGAGGACGTGGTGGTGGCATTGGAGCCGTCAGAAGACGTAACGTGAGATCGAGAACGGGCACCCTAATGAATCCAGGTCGACGCAGTAGCGCAGCTGGTGAGTACTTCCGAGAAGTTGAAGAAAAGGAAATCAGACGGGTACGCTCGGAGAGTGGCGGACCTCGAGAGGGTCAAGCAAGTAATACAGGACGGCGCCGCAACCGAAGCCCAGCGCCACGGTATGAGTACGAAGTCATTCACCCGGGAAGAATCTCTGTTGATGTGGGTGGTGGTGAGCCTGGGCGGTTTGAGCGGATTGTGCGGAGGAGAAGTTATAGTCGCGACCGCAGTCGAGGCAGATAGTCTGGCATTGAAAGACGATGAAGCCGTCCTCCTCGTGGGTCAATGAGGCTTTGCATCATCCGTACACTCAGAAGGCTCTCGCACACATTCTTGTCCGACCAAGTGGCCATGACGAATTATTCCTTTCTCCAGATCTTGAATTCTTCCTCGAGGTGAGCCTTGAGCTGTGTAAATTTATTCCCAAACATCTTTCCACAACGCCAGCACTTGAACTCCTTCCTCAAGTTCGTGTTCTGATAGCCTGTTTGGCGTCTGATATCATCCTTCGCAAGCGGAAAATCCTCAAGCGGGATGAAAAAGTCAGTATTGAAGCTGTTGTAATGCTTCCGGTGCTTCAGTCGATCCGAGTGCATGTCACGACTGATGATGTGAATATGGAGTTGACTCATCGAAGGATGCGCATGGATTCCTACTTTGAACTCCTTGGAGAAATCTCGTCCAGGTGGCAGTTCGTCTGGAGGATTCTCACTTTCCATTGCAGCAATGCGAGCTTGGCATGATTCCGAGTACGGACTGATCAGCCTAGACAACTCGGATGCTGCCAGTTGGACAGCTGTAGTTGCCTCTGTTCGCACCATTTCCAGAAAATCCTGGTCATCCAAAGCATCACGGGGGTTAAGGGCTCGTTTTGCCGGGTCTCGTGGCAGAAGAAGTAGGTGGACTGTAGCTTTTGGGAATGCATCGCGAACTAATACGCTCTTGTCATTGTGAAGGACGACAATATCGGAGGGGAACTTGGCCGGCTCTAAGATGTATGGGAGAAGGCCATTCAATGCATCATTTGGGTTGCTAGGCCGGGATTCTTGTGGCTTTGGCTGCTTGTGTTTAGGAGACATGAGTTCCGAGAAGGCATTGCGCTTGGTGGCGAGGGCACTAGCTTTTGATGCTTCCTCAGGCTGCTCATCATCGATGTTGTGAGGCTTTGATGCCATTTGGTATGTTTCCTGGATAGTTATGCTTCAGAAGCGTGGGTGATAAAAGGAGAGCAATCCTCCAAAAGGTTTGCAAAAGGTGAAAAACGTCACTGCCTCCAGCGACAGCGGCGCTTCAAGTCCTCTTGCATTCAAGAGTGACACTGGCCGGAAAGTCAGAATATGCCAGTGAAGAAGGAACAAAGAGACTTTGGACAGCCGATGCGAGGGAGGAGCTGGTCCAACTCTCACCGCCGCCACTGTCGTTGGCCACAAATGCCGTGGCTAGTGCGGTATCTACGATATACTCGATACATGGTACATCAACATCCCGGAAAACATGGTGGAAGTTCGAAGCCACGAGATATGCTTCTCAGTACTCAAGATCTCATTCTGGGAGAAAGGCGGGACTTAGATGGCGCTGCCTTCAGCAATACTCCCTCTCCTTCTTTCTGTCTCTCCCTCTGTGGGATGTCTGTTTTCTGTATCTGGTGTATGACTTGCATCCCATAAGAATCAAACGCCGTGGCAGAATCGTCCTCCATGACTGCCAAACCCCCTCTTTTCCCCTCCCAATAATATGTTAAAGAAGATAATCTTTCAATTTTGCGGCGCAAGCCTTAAGAAATCTTGATTCTCAACGACTTTTTGGCACCCCAAGAAAAAACATGCAAGCCAAACCAGTCAGTCCATTTCCACTCCACGAGAGACATATGCACTCTTAACTCCATGCAGTCAATGAGCCCGGCAACCCCTTGTTTGTGGGATGTGTGATGTTGGTATCGCACCATAAGCGGCCGCTTTCTCAAGTCCCCATCCCTTTACATAACCACACAGCGACTGCAGCAGCCTGCGCTCTCTGCTTGGTTATCCATCTCCATCTTTTGACCAGGGCCTAAGGACCCGAGCCCTGGCGCGCCGCCGGGGTACCCTGACATCTCTCGGTTATATCTTCGAATTTCTCGAACGAGGTCGTAGAAGGCATTGTCAACGTTTATTCGCGATTTGGCAGACGTTTCGATGAATTTGCAGCCGAATTGTCTCGCCAATTGAGCTCCCTCCTCTTTTGAAACCACTCTCTCCGACTCGAGATCACACTTATTACCCACGAGAATGATGGGAAAATAATCCTTGTCCTTGACCCGAAGAATCTGTTGCTGGAAGGTCATGATTTCTTCAAACGATTGTCGCGAGGTTATCGAATACACGAGTAAAAAGCCTTCGCCGGTCCTCATGTATTGCTCTCTCATAGCCGAGTATTCTTCTTGACCGGCGGTGTCCAGAACGTCGAGGAGAGCAACTTCGTCGTCTATCATGCATTGCTTGCGATATGAGTCTAGACATGTCAGCGTGCTTCCCAGCTTTTGACTTTCTCTACCCATCCGCACCTTCAATTGTAGGGTCATATTCATCGACGAAGTGGCTTTGAATCAGCTGGATGGTCAAGCACGACTTGCCCACCCCTCCACCTCCTACCACCACCAGCTTGTATTCGCGCAGAAACTGGAGCGGTTGCGTTAGTTGTGACATTCTCATTTGTGGTTACGAGGATGAAAGATTGGAAACCGGGGTCAAAGCACCTTTGAAGCCATGATAGAGAGCTACAGCCACAACTCGGGGTCTCGGGATGGAAAGACCTCGCCAGAGACAGGTATTCCAAAAACGTCAGGGTGGCGTTTATCCTGGCACTGGGATATTCAGCGGGCAAAAATGCAATACCGGAGCGCTGGGCTGAAGGATCTCCGACAAGAAGGGCAAGGGCGCAGGCGAGAACAGTTCCGTTCGTGGATACCTCGTACGGTGATAGGGATCGACGGGAAGCGGTGGATGGGGAGAAGAAAGACAGGGTCGATCGGTCGTCCTCCACAGCTCGAAGTGAAACAGAGGCGTTGAAGCACTTTGTAACAGCGAACTGCGAAGTTGCCGCAGACGAGGCGAGGAGGAAGAGAGACGGAGGTTTCGATAGCTCAGCAATATTCGAGGGGTTCGTGTTCGCTTGCGAGGCTCGGTTGTCACGATGAGGATAGTTCGTAGGGTGAAGGTTCAGAAGCGTCGTGCGAGAGTCGAGGAACTGACGGAAACAGCGATGGTGACTTCGTTGCTGAGAAGAATGAACAGTGGAGAGTTTTTGGGTCAAGGGCAGGAGGAGTTTAGCAGGCCAAGGGAGGTTCTGGGAGTGGCTGTAAGTGAGGTGGTGTGGATGGTGTGGATGTGGACTGAGACTCTAGTTTGGGGACCGGGGTCAAGGATCGCAGGTCGCAGGGCCGCAGGGAGAGAGGAGAAGACAAGGGGTCCTTCCCACCTGGTCCAAGGCGAGGCACCAGAGGCACTGCAACCACTTTATCACACCCGTTGGTGAGGGAGTAGTAGTAATAGTAAATTGACCAAACACGGAGTAGTTAAAGTCTTATCGATGGTCGTTCTCGCGACGGCCAAACTATCTTTTTCTCTACAGCGTACGAGGTACTCCGCAAGGATTCAATCATCCGAATACATGTGCGATGGTGGCCGTTGAAGGACCTAGTAGGGGATCCCAAGGAGAATCATGTTGATCCAAGACACGAAAAGAAGGCGAAGGAGACGCCAAACCGATGATGGATAGCAGGCAACTCTGCTTCCTCCGTCTCCTCGTCATTCGGTACCGACAACTGTTACTCCCCAAAGTCCAACAATCCCCAACAATAGGTGCCTTCTGTCGCTCAAAATGTACCTAGGTACCTAGGTAGGTAATACCCAGTGGCAACTTTTTCTTCTCTTGCTTTCTGTTTATCGCCGCTGCCTTACAGCAGGAATGCAGCAGCCATCCCGCCTCTCCTGGGTTACAAGGTCCGATCAATTGTACCGAGTACTTTCTCTTCCCCCCCCTATTCTCTACCTACCGAAAAAGAAAAGGCCCTACGCTCGCCTACCTGCCGCCCGCTCCACCAGCACAAAGCATGGGACATGTCCCCTAGCGTGGTGCCCATGTTAGTGCCAGAAAATGTGAGAGAGAAACCAACCATGGCAGCCTAGGCTCCCCTAGGAGAACCGGGTGGGCGGTAACCGCTGAATACCCGCCCGCTCAGTTCCATCAATTCCATCCAAATCTCGACACTGGCACCGACCTGGATGCCTCTACCAGCCGTTGATTCGGCGGCCCATCGACCCATCACACCCGTTCACACGCCGTTCAAGACTTGCTTTCCCTAGCTCCGCGCTTCTATCCCTGGTCAACAACCCAGAAACCTTCGTCCTCGTATTTGGCACCCTGTGGCTTCCATGCGCTCGGGACATTGTGCTACGGAGGACACACTACGTACATTCCACAGGGGCAAGAAGCAACTCGAGATAACGGTCTTCTCGCTCTGTTCCCCTCATCCTCTGGTCGGCAGACCCAACGTTCGTCTGGGAATATGGCCAAAAGTGGCACGATCACCGCTTTCGCAGGCCAGTCCAAACCACAAGCGTCATAGCCGCCCGCAGTTGTCATTCTTTCCCAACCCCTGTCGAAAGGGATAGCAGTCATTCTTGGCTCAGGGTCATTCGCCCATGAAGGTTTGTTCGAGGCATCCACGTCAAGGGGAATATGAGCACCTAGAACTGGCATTGATTCGATCTTCCACCTGCCCCGGCTGTCCGAACATGATCAGCAGACAGCTACGAGGACCTACAGAAGGAATGGGTGACGAGTTGCCGATCATCGAACCCCTTTGGATATCCACTTGGTCAAGGTAACATTCTGGAAAATTGCCCAAATCCGACGTCTTCTTGATTCGTCGAATTCCACCTGGAGGTGCGCCTCCTAGCAACCCTCTGCCTTGACGATGATACCAGCATGAACAGGCCACGAGCCATCATGATTGTGCATTGACCGCAAAGCTTCGGCCCACGTGGTTTTCCATGTGTCACACCCGCCCACCACCTCATTCATACGCCCAGCCGCTTTGATCCTGCCATGTCCCGTCAAGGGATCTATTCGATAGGCATCGCACACTAGCGACCTGGGCATCATCTTGCATGAGATAGCCTGCGATACATGCGACGACCTCGCTTGCAAGACCCCGGATCGAGATTTGGTGGTCTCAATGCGGCGGAAAAGCAACGACATCATGACGCACGTTTCGGGAGAATTGATGCAGACGGGCTGATCATTATGGTTCTAGAACGGCATCAAGCATCTTTGTCCTTTTTCACGTCGGTCTCGTCGTCTGTATCATCTTCACCTTCTACTCTGACCCTCGTGCCTTTGACGCCCGCGGCCACCTCCGCCTCTAGCGTATCCATGTATTCTCGATCACTCCCCACCAGGGTCACCACATTCTTATTCTTGCCCCATCGAGGATAACTTCCCACCTTGATGCCCTTGGGCTCGACTTTGGCGGCCAACTGAGTCAGGTAATCGGCAACCTGACTCTCCGCCAGTGGAGTGCTAAAGAGCATTCGATACATTCCCTTTCCTTCGGGGTCTTTTAGACGAGGAAGAATGCGAGGCCTCATCCCCTCCAGCAGCGTCTCGAATATCCTCGGCACACCGGGTAGAATATGGATGTTTCGATTGACCACCGAGATGGGGACCCAGAGGTCCTCCTTGACATATATAACCTGCTCCTCGTCGGGAATATTAGGGTCCGTCGGTAGTTGAGCCATGCGCATCTTTGCTGTCAAGGCCGGTGAAGGCTTGTCCCAGTCGAAATCTGGCTGTGATTTGTGAGGCCTGGAGTATTTCCTCATTTTGGCCATGGTCGGCTCGTGTAGTTTCAGCTCCAGACCAAATGCTTTGGCTATTGACTGGTATGTTATATCATCGTGCCTTCCATCTGTCAGCGATGCGCAGTCTGTCCAAGATATGTTGCTGGAGAAAAGACATACGTGGGACCAATCCCGCCGCTTGTTACCACGAAATCATAATTCTTAGACATGCGCCTGGCCGCCTCTATTATCTCGTCTTCGTCGTCTGCAATGACTTCGATCCTTTTGAGTTGCATCCCCAGGGAAAAGCAGAAGCGGGCAAAATATGCGGAATTAGTGTCGACGGTCTACCAACTCGTGCACAGCTTGTCAGTTCTCTGCCTTTCTCCCGAGCGACCATTTTGCGGATAACTCTCTGGGGTATCTGACCTTTCCACCCAGAACCTCATCACCTATAACTATACATCCCGCCGTGTGTATCATTCCCTTGCTGGGCGCAGAAATGGTGTCGAGGTTAGATGATGATGTCATTTTGGAGGCCGAGGGAGAGGACAAGGCGACGGCAGAGCGGTGCGCGTAGTTTGGCAGAGGTCGTAAGAGGTGTCTTGCGATGAGAGAGAGGCGAGAGAACATTGAATGCCGACAAGTAGAGAGCGAGCGGTGGGAAAGATCGTTGTGTGTGTGGATGGTAGATTTGCATTGAGGAGAGTGGTGCAGGTGGAATTCAATGCAGGGCGCAGGTCAATCTCGTCAATAAGCCGGCCGAAGGATGGAGATGCCAGTGCCCCACCATGACCAGAGCACCATGGACCACCGTGGACCACCACCAGCCTGCCATCAAACATCTCATCACAATACTCCAACACGACACCACGGACAACCCTGGACTTATACCAAGTGATAGTGAATCTCCCCAAGGGGCATCTTTGAATCGACTCGCAGTCTGCGAGGAATCCTCCTCCGCCGCCCTTTCTCGAGCACTCCGCAAGTCGAAACCCGAGTGGCTGCACGAGGCCGAGCCCTCCGACCTTGAGTCGCCGGACATCGCTGTCGTTGGCGTTCCCCCTAGCGACAAGCCAGATCGGATCACACGGGTTAGACCACCGTACTTTCTGCGCAGGCGGTAGAGTCCGAGTTAAGCTGAGATACAGCAAAACATGGTATTATACTCTCTTCAATTCCATCTCGGTGCCACGGTTCCTGAGCCATTCATTTGCCCATTCCTCTCTAACCGTAACATCCAACGTTGTATTATTACCTCGCTTACCTCTTCTCGTCTAATTCAACCACCTGCAGTCAGAGTCAAGGCTCTACACCTTCTCGCAGGAGACCAAGGACCAGCTACGCAAGTTCCGACTAGGCACGTCGCGGGCCAAGACGCCCCTGGCCAAAATTTGTGAGTTCCGCGAACCTCTTGTTATCCGTCAAACATGATGAGATTGCTTCCCTTGAGGAGGAAAAATCCTGGCCCAAAAGGGCTCGGATGGTCTGTACTGTATACGGAAAGGGCTCGCGAGGTTTGAATGACTATTAGAGTCCATCTACAAGCCACCCCTCTCATAGAGGAGAACTCGCGTCAGAACGCTGACTGTGTGCCCGCAATCATCGTATTGGGACCCATAACAGACCAGATCGACGCCAAAACACAAGAAATCAAGGCATCTTCCGATGACACATACAGCGACATGCTCGAGCTGGCAGACGAACTGCCCGACTCGTCACCACGGTTCATCCTCTTGAGTTACCCCTTAACTCTGGTGTGTCCCCCATTTGCTCCCTCCTCCCATACTTTCTTTCCCTTAGCACCATCCCCAAGATCTGGTCTATCAAACCAACCACAAGCGCACCATGACAAACAAATTTCAGTTCCTTCTCCCCATGCATGTAACAGGCCCGTTGTTTACCTTGTCACTCGTCCTCCTCAACATCCTTATTGTTTACCATCTCGCCCCCTCCCATACTAATCTCTATGTTCTGTAAAGCCCTCAGGCCGCCAATCCGTCCCCTACGTCCTCCTCTATTACTTACCGGTGAACTGCAACCCGAACATGCGCATGAGCTACGCCGGGGCGGTCGAGCTGATGCGCTCCACCGCAGAGGTCAATCGCGTGCTGGAGATCGCCGACGCCGAGGATCTGCAGGAGATTGAGGGACGGTTGAAGGGCGAGGACTAGCATTTGAGGTAACCTCGGAATCTTTGCGGAGGGGACTGAGGAAGGGGATGCATCTGCGTATTTTCTGTGTCTGGATGGAGGGTATGGGGATTATGTATGTATGCACGGATGGATGGATGTATGTATCGATCCACGAGCGGGTAGGTGGATGAATTGAATGAATGACTATCAAAGTGTCCCAGGGCGGAATCGAGAAAAATAGTCGGCGTGAAAACGCGAGCATCTGCAGCTTAACCACAAGACAGAGAAGGAGATGGCAGTGCTCTGGAATCAATAGGCAATAGGCAATAGGCAATTTTATGATTCATGGCAATGCTACATTAAAAGCTGACGTTCCGTTCTGAAGAAACCCCGACCACTATATGTGTAACGCCCGACGTGCAAGATAATAAAACGACACATGGCTGATAGCCAGCCAGCTAGGTAGCAACCCCGAGACTCTCTTCCGGCAATGTTCTTGGAAAATATTTACATATCCTCCTTTCGCTGCTTGTTGGGTCCCCGCTTCCCAAGTTTGGACAAGAAAACCCATCACCGAGCGGCGAGTATGCTGTTCTCTGCCCATTTTTACAGCTGCGATCTCACCCGTTCGGCGCCACCGCCCAGCCCAGTCCTAACGGTGAAGCCCTTGAAGTATCCCTCCAGCGCCTCGACCGTCTCTTTACCCTCGGTCAAGCGCACGGCAATGCCGACGTGTCCATCGGGCCGCACGACCACAACGGCACCGTCCTCACCGGTCAACCCGACTTTGGCATGGGCAGAGGCCGGCGCATCCAGAACCTTGATGTCCTTGCGGTCATCCGCGTAGACCCGGGCAGAGTAGTCTCGGAACAAGGCGGGGAGGTCGGAGATCTCGATCTCGGGTCTCTTGGCGGCGAGGACCAGCGCGAGGGAGAAGAATCGCGAGTGCGGGTTGTCCATGTCGTGGTGGTTGTCGCGTTGCCGATCCTCGCATCCGAATCTGGAGTAGAATGAGTCCTTTGCGGTGAGGTTCTCGGCAAAGTCAGCCAGTGCTTTGTGTGCTCCCTTTTTGGGCGACTGGGATAGACCCGCGTAGATGAACAGGCGGAAGGATCCGTTGAAGGGGATTTCGTTCTCGAGATGCACGACGTTGGCGTCGACAACTCGCGTAACGTTTGAGGGCGGCATTATCCGGCCAGGCCGCAACTTTTGGCTGTCCGTGATGATGAGGGGATGCTGGAAGGGATGTTCGATAGAGTGGTTGAAGATGTTTGGGTTGTAGGCAACGCCGAACCCGGAGGTGAACTCGCAGTTGGCTTTGAACATTTCCACGAATTCGTTCTTGTGTTCCGTTCCATCATCGTGCTTGTGTGCGTCGTCCACTTCCGAAGCGGTGGGCTGCCGTGTCGAGAAGAGCGCGGCGTATTTGTTGTCAAAGTTCAGGAGCGTTTCGGCAATGAAGCGCCGCTCGACTTCATATGTGGACAGGATGTCTCGCGAGGCGAAGCCGGACTCGACTAGGTGCACTTTCCATGCAAAGTTGATGGCGTCGTGGAAGGCTGTGTTCATGCCCTGTCCGGCTTTGGGCGAGTGGGTGTGACACACGTCGCCGCCCATGAAGACGCGGTGGTCCAGAGTATATTTGTCGGCGATTCCCTGACCGATCGGGTAGACCGAGTACCATTCCACGCGGTCCCAGTTGCAGTAGTAAGGCGCGAAGATGCGTTTGGCAGCAGACTGCACTTGTTCCACAGTCGCTGTCTTCCGAGGTGAGAAGTCCGGGTCTGTGGAGCTGGCGATCTGGATATAGAGTCTGACCATGTTGTTTTCGCGGGGAATAACCATGATACTACCATGATCTGAGTGAATCGTGCACTTCATCTTGATGTCCGGGAAGTTGGTGCGGACAACACCATCCATCACTCCCCAAACGTGGGAGATGGGATCCTTGTGTCGGATTTGAACACCCAGCTGTTCGCGAACAAAACTCCTGGCACCTTCACCGCTGAAGAGATATTTCGCTCGAACGGTGTCGGTAACGTTGCTGTCGAGGTTCTTCAGGTCCACCTCGACAGGATATTCCGGGTTCTTGTGATTGGTCTCAAACCGGGTGATGGTCCAGGGCCTCTGGACCTTGGTACCGTTCTTCTCGAGATCTTCAATGAGGACTCGCTCAATTAATCCCTGGTGAAGGAGGGCCGTGAAGGGATATCGGGCGTCCAGGAATTCTGGACAGCTGGCCCAAGTACCCGTTCTCACAATCTTTCCACCAGGTGCAGGATCCCAGAATGCCACCTCAAAGACTCGCGCGGGATCATGGGCCATGATCTTTCGTTTCAGGCCCATGTTTTGGAGAATCTCCAGCGACCGCGGTTGAATGCCATCGGCCCGTCCGGTCGCTGTTGGAACAGGTCGGTTGTCGATATGTCTGACTTTATAACCCCATCGTGAGAGTGATACTGAAAGCAATAAACCCACTGGACCAGCACCAATGATTACAATATCGTACAAGGGTATCTCTGAAGGCATTTTGAGTTGATGTGAGGGGAAGTTTGAAGGAGAAGAAGCGGAGGTGCAGTCGAGACTGAAGTCAGATACAAAGCAGACAAACGGCGGACTCTGGAGCTCTGTTGGGACTGTTGCACAGAGGGCGAGGTTGATGGCTTTGAGAAAGAGATTGGGAAGAAGAGTTTCAATTTATGAAATCGATGCTAGAGACGCGATGCTCGGCTTCGGAGCATGGCAGATATACGGAGGCCCGGCCACGGGGCAAAGTCAAGTATTGAGATCAAGCGAAGAGAGTGGCCGTTTCCGAACCAGTCAACCGAAATGGTTGCCGCTGCCAGCGGTTAGGGCTGGAGGCGGGCGTGTGGGTGTCTGGAGTAGAAGGGCAAGCTGTGGTGTAATTCCGAGCTGGTCCAGATCCTCTCCCTGGGAGGCTTTTTGATTTGATTAAACCACCATCTAGGCATTAGTGACGCTTGGGATGCCCCAGTGGCGGCCATCATGGACGTTATTCGGGGAGCAGCCAACGTCATGGAGGAAGCAGAAAGGTCAGACAGCAGCGTGAACGGTAGTCCCCCGCAGATTCGGATAGCAATATCGGCAATCTCGACTTGTCACGTGAGGCTGACATCTCAGGAGTTGAGAGAGAAGTGAGAGGCACGTGACTGGAATTTAGCGCCTTGGCAGGGGGCAGCCTTCTTTCAACTTCAACTGACCGCTTGCTTTCTCCTTTACCACGACCACATGGCCTCCTCACACGTCGGATATACAGAGCACAGGGATGAGTGGGAGAGCTGGATGACGTGGTAGGGAAGAGGAGACCGCTGTGCATGTCTTTATCAGGCTGCCATAAGCACTGTGCCTTGTAATGAGCAGTCAGTCATGCTTGATCCGGGATGGAGGAACATTGTTGTGCACATCTGTGTGTCGGGGATATCAGCCTTGAAGCAGGCTCAACCGGTTCCAGACTGATATGAGTGGGTCGGTGGCATCCTTGTCGAGTTGAGGGCAGGTTATTCAGAATGAATTGAGCTGAGTCTGTGAGTTGAATTGTTTGCTCGTGGCTGCACTGCCAAATCCTTGAACCGGACAATAAAAGAGATGGCCATATTCCCAGCCAGCACGTGCCTGGACGTGACCTGATTGTGACCTCGTTGTCGCCTTCGGAATCGGCTCGCAAGAACAATCTTCCGATACGACTTGGCGAGGCTATTGACCGCACCGGCAGCGATATCATTCAGACGAATTCAACTCATCGCAGAATCTGCACCTCATCCAAAACACTCACGTCGGTCGTCTCTGCAGACTGATCGGCGCGCCACTCTTTCATCCCCTCCCTTCGTCGGTGCAATTGTTTCCTTGTTTCGATCGTGTCGAGACTCCTGTATTGTCAGCATCATGTCCTGATCGTGTTACTGTGCTTTGCTCACTCTTCAATTTTCATTTCTGCACTCTTCTTTCACGTTGCTTCTTCTGTCCAGCATCATGGACATCACGCGTCGCCGCAACATAACAGCGACAATCCCTTCACCCTTGTTCAACAACCTGAACAGAGTCGAAGACCTTGGTTGCTTCGACGAAGAAGAATGTCGCTTCTTCCTGCGAGAAGTTGGCGAGCGCGTCGTGCCTGTCTATCCTTTTTCCTTTGGCATGGAAGAGGTGTACAGCTTGATTCTCGAGCGGTATGGATATGCAGGTCTTCCTGACGTAACAAGTGTTCTGCAAGACCTCCTCGAAGATGAACGAACCGCAGCCGGCTTGGGAGACGATGGAGATGTCTGGCGCTCATGGCGTCACAGTTGGAGACACCGAAATGTAAGGCTCTCGCCCTTCCGTTGAGCGAATGGCACTGACAACTCTCCAGGATGACGCCCTCAACCCCTTTATCCCAAAAGTGGGAAGCTTTGTCCTGCAGCACCCAACCCAGCCACACATTCGCAAACTCAAGGCAAGGAATTTCATCCTCAAAGCCGAAAAGGCCCAAAGACTCGAGCGAGCCCGTCAAGCTGAAGAGGCCGGCAAAAGAAACGCGTTGGTCGAGATCTCTCCCAATCAGAACAGAAGAACCGAGTCACCTCCGAGTGACGTTCTCACCAAACTTGGAGATTCGGATGAAGAGAACTCGTATCGACTGCCTTCTACCACATATTCCCACCAGAGAACCAGAACTTTGTTGGCATCAGGACCTGGATCGTCACAAACGTCTGAGCAAGTGGCAGCGAAGGATAGAGGGTCGCACTTCACCCAACTATCAGCAGGTGGCTCCTCGCAGCAAGAGTTTATTGAAGTGGATCCTTCAATGACTGGTGCAGACATTGATCCAGCTCTCTTGGTCTCCTTTGAGATGCTCTCACCCAGTCGGTCGGCTTCGGAGCAAAGACCTACCCTGAGAGGCGGGCATGGCGAAATCGTCACTCTTCAACAGATCAGCTCCGCTCAAGATACCAAGTCGAGCAAGGAAAGCAGTGTCCAGGCAGACAGCTCACCGCCGTCCCGTGTGCCGTCTATCCCCACCTATGTTGGTTCTTGTGAGACACCTGGAAGTCGAGGCATATCAGTTCCTTCTAGTCCTCCAACTGCGGGAAACACCGAGCCCTCTAAAGATTCGAGCAAAGTCGACAGACAAGAACCTGTAGAGCCACACAAGTCAGCGGAGAAACAGCGCACACTTTCGGACAGTCTCAAACAATTCGCTCGACGCCCCCTTGGTGACAATTCTGACCCGAGCAAGAGAGCACGCGCGGTCAATCGGCAAGCCAGAGTCTTTGATGGGACAATATGGCTTCCTAAGGTTCGCAAGAGGCAATCGTCACAGGTCAATCTCCCTGCTGATGAAGAGGCCGTGGTGGAGGAGAGGAAGAAATCGATTGTACGACGCAGCCTCACCCCGGTCTGGCAGAAACGCGATTCTTCACGCAACAGTTGGATGGACATTATGCGGAATATCTTTCGGTCCGAGTCGACTTCCAGCCAAGCAAAACAGTCCAGAGCTGAGAGTATCTCAATCCAAATTCAACCCACACAACCGGATTTCATCGCGTGCTCAAACAATCAGACCATCACCAGCACCCAAGTTCCAGTTGAGCAGGAACGAAAATCATCTCCATTTGGACTTGACGGTACCATTGACCCACGGCCACTTGCAAGATCAAGATCCATCATGGACTACAACAAGCCACTGCCGCTCAGTCCTGGCGAAATTGTCCGCTCTCTCTCAACTCACCCTATGCTGCCACGCGCATATCCACCTCAACTTGCAACCCTCGACGACCCTTTCACTTCAGCAAATCCTAAGGCTGACTCTCAAGCTCCGGCTTCTCATCGTATCAAGCGAAAGGATGTCCCTGTCAAACATCAGCTCTCGCCTGTTCGCGAAATCAAGGACACAACTGCCGGGCACGCAGCTGAGCCTCAGAAGATAGAACAACCACCATTGTCGTAAGGTGTCTTTCCAAATTTTAGGTGATGGTAACGGAGCTGATAGATGAGAAGGGCGATCACGTACTCTAGCATTGCTAATAAGAATCCATTCCTGGACAATCTCACCTCTGAAATTCCTGTCATTCTTCCTGCTCCTTCTGAACGCGAACCGCTCTTTGCCAATCATGGAGAAATGCCTGACCAAATTCGTGGCTTTCCACCCGGCGTTCCTGAACATAGTGCAATCAACACTCGTCAACAGGTCCCAAACTTCTCTTTGCCACCGCCTCAGCCAGCGCAGCCTGAACGCCAGACCTCCAAGTCGCGTATCTTTACACCTATCAAGAACCTTATGAACAAGGGAAGGGATTCAGAGGACGTGAAATATGGTACACCAAGTCCGGCAGAGCAGAAGAAGAAACGCAAGAACAGTTTGCAGAAGTTTAGCGATTTCTTGAAACATCCGTTCGTGGTAATGCCCGACCACAGCCCGAAGCATTTATTTGACTCTGGCTAATTTGTAAACAGTCTCAACCTCAAACCGAGGAAGAGAAAGTCGACAACTGGATGAGCGAAAGTGCCGCAGCTACTGCGCCTCGCGCCTTCGTGTCTCTCGATCCAGCCACCCAAGCACGCATTCTCGGAGACATCGAACTTTTGCTGGTGACTGCGACGAACAACTTCCTTGTCCACGAAGCCAACGCTGGGCACCTCAACCCTGAAATCGTCATGCGCTTCAGCCACGATTGGCAAGCCCGTGGTCTCCGCCCCGTCGTCGAGTTCCTCTACGACTGCCGCACACAATACAATCTCGTCTTGGCCAACATTCACACGGTCAAATTCTCAGCCAACTGCGAACAGTCCTCCTACCTGCGCGAGTCCGGGATGGAGGCCTGGTCCGCCATCCTGGACGACGTGGCGGTCCACGCGTTCTGCCTCCCCGACGACATCGTCGTCAAGCACCTCTTCGCCCTCCCACAGGTGTTGAGAATGTTGCGGGCGCCCGAGTCCGCCGAAGCAGCCGTCCGAGGCCTTCAGCTGAAGACCTCGGCCAAGATCAACGAGCGCCTGGCCCTGGCCCGCGCGCGAAAGGCCGCTCGGGGCCCGTTTGCCGTCCGCCTGCCCCAATACGGGGACGGGTTGTTCCACCGGCGTGATATAAGCGTCGGTTCAGAGGAGGATTGTTTTGGGGGTTTCGAGGCCGTCGTGGCCAACATGCGGGCGCCTGCGCCGCTTGTTGTGTTGCGGCGCTAGACGGACCCGGCTCGACCGTCCGCAAGGACGATCGGGTTGGCGTCCGCTAGACGTCAACTGTTTCCTGTCCTTTTTTTCAAGTGAACATGTTCATGGGCGTGGGTGTGGTGGGCTGTGCTGTGCTGTGCTGTGCTGGGTGGGCGTTCTGTCGCCATTTTCAAATGGCAGAAAAGTGTCTTGTTGGAGAGTATTTAGTCTTTTTCCCTTCTTTCATTCTGAAAAGGGGGTCGACCCCCCCGAAAAAACAATGTCCGAGTCCCCCCAAAGCCAGGCGGTTCCTTGTTCCATTATTTGTGCATGTGTGTGAAAAGTCACCTCGCTGTCGTCGACCCTTCTCATCGCGGCCTATGTTCGCCTCGCAATGGCGGTCTGTGCCCATTCTGCGCACACATGGCGTGTGTTTGAATGGATCCCGTTGTCGGCCCGCAACTGAGGATGAGCATTGTAGGCCATAGCAGGCTCATTGACTGCATGGTGTTTCTTCCCGCTGATACTAGTACTACCACTACAACCTTTTGGCGTCGTTACCATTTTCTTGCCCCCCCCCCTTCACTGGCGACGTCTGTCAAAACAGAGGCTGTTCTGCCCCATCCAACACAACTCGCATCCTAGTCGGTATCGACTTCGGCACCACATCTTCCTCCGTCTGCCCTGACGAGGTCGTCGTCAATTTGAGACTGCTGCCACATCAAGCGCTGGCTAGAAATGGAGTACACCACCCTGCAGACAAAGAATGCCATGGGATACCACAAGTCGCTTTTGTCGATGCTGTGTGCCCGTATCATCGCTATCGTCACCCTAGTGACCACGACGACGACCTCTGTGAGACAGGGACACGTTCCTGATGGCTCGAAGACGCACTCGCCCTTCATTGTCCCGTCTCCCAATCTGCACCACTCGTCCCCTTGAAAGTCTAACGCATGCTCCCTTTGAACACGAGAGATAGAAAGAGCGTGTGTCGAAGACGTCAACCAGCCTGTGCCCATCCCGTGTTAGCCCAGGGCTGGCTTCTCTTCCTCCACTGGTCGATAATCCCAACTCCTGCAAGACAGAAGTAAGGCGTCTGGATCCCCATAAGCCAAATATCTCTTACTGTTAGTCTCGTTGACCTGCGAGAACGATGCCAAGCGCCAGGCCAGGCGGGCGAAAGCCAAGGCGAAGGCAAAGGCGACAAGTCCAAGCTACAAGTCCTCAACCACAGCCGCATCTTCACCCTGAACCACCTGCGAGCTACAAGCCGCTCATGGCGGCGAGGAGGATGCCAACCTCGTTCTCCGATCAGGCACCCTGCTGTCACGTCCACACACCCACCTTGCAGGTGGCTATGAACTCAGGAACTGCGTCCTTCTCTTGACCAAATGCCAAATACATATAGCCTCTCAAGTACCACATTTTGTCGCCGTCGTCCTCTCATACTCTATCTACTCTCCTCACATAATCCATTGCAGGATTGGCACACGCTGTGAACAGCCCGCTCTTGCACGACTCGAGCAGGCAGCGTCCGGCATTGGCATTGGAATTCAATCGGGAGCAGACGTCCGCTCTCGAGGAAAAAAAATGTCGAGCATAGCCGGCGGCAAAGGCTGCGGGTAGGTGTAGGATCATCGGTTTAACGCGGACAAAGTTGAGTTCTTCAATACTGCCGGGCTTGATATCGTTCAACGATATGCATTCCTAGTGCGAAAATGCCAATTTTAAGCAGCTGGTTAGCATTACCATCCAGGGGAGAAAGCTCGCCATTCTAAGGCCTCATCAACCGTCCAACCGTCCAACCGTCCAACCTTCCAACCATCCAACCATCCAACCATCCAACCAACCAAAGTAAGCAATCACGTCCCTGAAAATGCACAGTTCGCTCTCTCGTTGGACCGACCCCCCTTCCATCTAACAAATCAGGTATTCATGGATTTTCGGACACCAGGGAGAAGGGAAAGAAAGCGGAAGGGGTTCACGAGCTATGTAAATCAATCTCGACTTTGCTTTCGTTGAGGATTACGCGGGAGAGGAACGAATAGCTGACCAGAGGACATACACCCTGCTAAGCTGCAGGTGGTCGGGGTCCATCGCCCGGACAATTCAACATGCCTACGATGGTTTCACTTAAAGCTTACGTTTGCGAGGAGAAAGCAGCAAATGGACCGATGAAATGGGGTTGGAGACGAATACGCCATTCGAACAAACTCGTCCCCCTCAGCTCTTGACTGAAAGCTCATTTCTTCTTCGTGAACCTTGGACTATGTCCACAATCTACCTAGGTACTCTTCACATGTCCAACACTTACGAGAACCCGCCGTCCTGTCCAGGATCTAATCCTGCTTGATCTTCAAAATCCACAAACCCCGACAACGTAGCCAGGCCTGTATAACACCGCACACACTCCTCCACTAGCGGCCTCAACGCCTGGTCCACCTTGCCACTTACACCCGTGTGCTTTTTGAACACACCCACCATGTTCGGCCGATATTCGGTCAAAAAGGAGCGGGCGAGATATTGAATTTGCTCGTTCTGAGCACCTCTGGAGAGAAATGTCGAAAGAAGAACGCGGAGCGTTGATGACAGAAGGACGTAATATGTGCGGAGGGCAGACATGACGGAGTCAGCAGCATAATCATTGGACTCAGCCGTGTCGTTGGCAGGCGAAGGAATCGAGATGCCGAGATCGGGATCTGCTCGGAAGAGGATGGAGTCGCGAACAGCAGACATGAGCCCTGCATCGAGGAGAGCTCCTGCGCCGTCCCGGGTGCGCGAGATCTGCAGAAGGAGAAACATGCGTGCTTCGAAGACGGAGAGAAGGTAACGCCGATCTGTTGGTTGGACACATTAGCAATGAAATAATAGCATCTTGCCTCATCTGGGTGGGGGACGTACAAACTGGTTCCGAGCTCTGAAATTCTGCCGCAATGTGCTTGAGAGGGTCAACCAGGATCTCTAGCATGTTGGCCTTGACGAATGAATCGAGGACGAAGTTTGATTTCTCTGTGCGGGCCAGGGAAGTAAGAAACGACAGAAGATTGAGGGCGTTCAACCTGCAAGCGTCCACTCCGTCCTCCGCATCATCGCACAAGATCTGCACGACCCGTTGGCTCGTTGATCGAACACAGTCCATACTGTTACGCCTTGCTTTCGCGTCTACATCGGAGAGGCCACCAGGGGAGGTTGTAATGCGGCCCAGGTACTGCGAGCAAATGCTGTAGAATATCGTCCTAAGATTTGTGTTTGAGTTAGATGCTGCAATCCCTTCAACAGAGGCACGGAAGAGCTGGAACAATTTCTCTGTGATAAGATTGTTCATGTTGGTGTTGCTGAGGTCTGTTCGATAGAGGGAGAAGAGCAGGGCATCAGCGGCTCGGGCTAGCTCTAATACATCCGCTCTTCCGTCAACAATAAAGACATCGAGCTTGGGAAGCATGACCTGCAGCATGTGCAAGATAAATTGCGCCTTGGACTTTGCCTCCATTGGGCAACCTTCAATGATAGCGATGAGCATTTCCACATATTCATGTAATGCATCACTCCTGGCTTTGTGGGCAAGGATAGACCGATTTCGAGCTTCGATTTTGGCCAATATAGTGTCGGCTTCGTCAATCAGAATTTGCTCGTCGACTTTGCTGCTGGTCGGTGTTGGCTGATTTCGTACCATGTCGGCCCGGTAAGCATTGAGATACTCGCGGATCATCTTAACGTCGTAAACGCTAGGCTGACTGTCGGTAGCCTCCGTCAGATAGATCTCAAAGTCCACTCCCGCGTAGAATTGAGGGTCTAGCTCTAGATTGGCGGAAAGATCGAGTTCGAGAAAGTCAAAAAGAGCAAACACATCAGGGTTGGTGATGATACTGCCGTCCATGGTTGTCGTCTTCCCTTGTAGAGTTGACAAGGTCTGTCGCAGTGTTGTCGACAACCCTTCACGCACTGCTGACCGTATCTCACTGGCAGTATAATTGTACAACGACGCCCGAAATGTGAGGAACTCAGCAAGAGCTTCTGCAGATGTGGTGTACCAGAAAGCTGGGTGAAGCACGCTATTGCCGTCCCACAGAGTTCGCTGATGGACGACGGGTAGGCTCAAGTACAAAGATTGTAAGAACTGAAATCGGCGGAGTTGGCCAACAACAATTGCAGCTGATATCGGAGACAGCCATAGATGTCTCAGCACACGCAGTGCGGCTGCTTTCATGTGTATCAACCATGATGACATGATACCAGCCTCGTCGTCAGGGTAATTCCGGGCCAGATCAACTATGGAGTTGAAAACAGCAGTTGCTGCGTCGATCGAGTCGGAAATGGTCAAACGTTCGCCCAATCTAGCGAAGCCTATGAGAAGGTGCGCGAGGTTTGGAAGATCGGGCTGCGTTTCGAGGCATGCATTAAAAAAAGCCAAAATACCGTCTTTGAGGAGGTAGCTGACGGACTCAAATCCTTCCTCAAGCTCCCGGACATCGAACTGCAGCCTTGCAGACAAATTTTTCGCAATTGGCGCCAGCTCAAAGGCCGGATCTGGACCCAACATATCCACAATTCTCCGCGTCCGACCAAGGGTGGGATCGCTAGCCAGGAAATGGTTGTTGAGCTTCGGAGAGCTGGAGAGCTTCTGCAGCAGAGCCAGAGCGCGAAGTGCGAGCTCAGAATGCCCGGTAGCAGAAAACTGGCAAAGATTGAGTACGATCTCTGGGTTCGCAGCCAGGCTATCTTCTAGGCCATTGAGATTTGGCCGAGCAAGTGGGCCGTCTTGTGCTGACTGAGACTGCACCAGCGGTCTTACTATGTCGAAATAGGTTGGCTGCAACTCAAGCACCCGATTGATGATGTCAATCGAGCGTTGTAGGCTGAGGAGCAAGGGCGAGTCCGGCAGAGCCGCATCGGCAGCCTCGCCAGACACGCGGAGGGTTTCCATTAACGGCTTGGTCATATCACTGCTAAGGATCCACTGCATAAGCCTCGCAAATGGACTGCGTTGAGCATATGAAGCTGCCTCCGGCATTTCTTGAAGAGCGTCATGTGCGGATGACGTACGGTCAAGCATCGCCACATAGTCTTCATTGAACCCCTCGAGGCCAACCGCCACGAATTCGAGACAATGGAATGAACCAATTGATCGTTGAAGCTCATCACCAACTTCTAGGATCGCTTTGGCAAAGACTTGACCGCATACAAAGTCGATGTAAGGGGCTATCCCGGGGGCCCTGTACGACGCTCCGAGATCTTTGGGAAATGGAAGCAAATCAGTCCCGAGCCCGGTGGAAGGCAAAGAAACGACCAGATCCCGGAGAAACACGACAAAGGCATCATACTGGTCAAATGACATTGCTATTGAATTGAGCGTGCTTTGTAGGTTGAGCAGCGTTGGTTTGGGAGGTGCTATCGTTTTGCTGGCGGTTGGTCGGGCTCTGTCATGGCTGTTTGCCGCCCACTCGTCGACGATTTGCCACAGTGTGGCAGCAGTTTGAGCGGTCTTGTCAGTCAGCAGCGCGTCTAGTGCCGCGAAAACACTTGCTCTCAGATAACTTGGGACAGGACCGGAACTGAGAAGCAGGAGAGCGTGCGGGAAAGCCGGAGTCACGGTCTGTAGGATGTATTGCCGCGTACCACTGGGCTGTCGACTGAGGTGCGCAAGTAAGCGGAGATAACAGGAGAGCATGACAGGGCTCTCCAGCTCGTTCATATCCGTGGGCTGGATCTTTCGTACGTTTGGTAGTTGCGAGGTAATAGGGCGTTCATGGACCTTCTGCGCATAGAGCTCCAACTCGGCAAAAATCTGTTGATAGTTCATGGAAGGGTTGCGTCTACCTCGTACTGGAGCAGGCTGTGAGTCGTCCAGCAAGAATTTGTGGGCAGCTTCAGCGCACTCTTGCTCCTCTGAGATCGAGCATAAGAGCTCGCAAAAAGCGCTCACCCTTGGCACTGTTTGTCTTCTGGATGCCCACTGCAGGAAGCCATACAAGTTACTGTCGGGGTCTTCCCACCATTGCTCCGCAGCCTCGGGTCTTCCTTCAAACGCGAACGAAATGAGGATGAGGAAACATTCCAGATGCAGTTTGCTGACGCTCGTGCCTTGATTAGTAGGTGGCAAGCCTTCTTGCATTGCTGTCAATTGATTCAACCTCTGGTCGTCTTCTTCGGTCCTGAGCTTTCGTATCGAGTCCGGCATGTTCGAAATGAAGGCCTCGGTGAAGTTTTCGAGAGATTGCATGAATTGTAACCGAAAGTAGGATGAGGTCTGCTCGCCTTCGAGCGCGAAACCCGCAGTATCGATGAGAAGTAGAGCCACCAGCTCCTGCCGGGCAGGATGCCGCCAGACATCTGAATTGGTGCTGGTACATATTGCAAGCATGAATTCTAACGCATCCTCCTTCAGCGCTGCCTTGACTGCATTTGCCCGCTTGTCTGCTCCTGGGTCCTGGTCGGACAGGTCGCGGAATTGCCCACTGTACTCAACAGTCCACCAGAGACTCAAAACTGCCTGGAAAGGTCTGATGGGGGTCGAGGGGGCATCTTGTGGCACTGACCCAAATACAGAGTCGAGGGAGGCAGTGCTCTCAGGGGAAAGGTGGCTCCCGGGAGAACCGTACTGTCGAAATGCTGCGGAGAATGCGGGCAGATAGTGGATAAGATTGAAATCGAGGCGGTTCCAGCGCGGCAGCACACCGTGGAGCTTTCGCAGATCTTCCTGGTTGGTGTAGTCTCCTTGAAACAAATACGCGAGAATACAAGCAAGGGCCTCATGCTGCTTGAACAGACTGTCTCGCTGGAATTCAAGGGTGGCATAGAACTCGGGGCCGCGTGGCCCACCTAGAACCGCTTTGCTCTGAAGTGCATCCGCAACCTTGGCTTGTAACTTTTCAATGTCCTCCAATGCACCCAAGCATTTTCTGGTGAAGATTGATCCGTTGCCGGGAACACCACCATCAATCTCCAACACCCGTGCAACGGTGGTCTCAAAGACATGTTTGACTCCATCATCAGGTTCCAAAGTGAGCGACTGTTGGAGCGTAATTCGGAGGGACTGGAGTAGGAGATCTCTGCGATTGTGAAACTTGCTCACTGCGTCCATCACAAAAGAATCCTCTGTGGTGTGGATATCGGCTCGACTTTGGATGAGTAGTCGTCCGGCCTCGATTTCGTCTAGGTCAAGAGTGGTTGCAATGGCCCGGCTGATATGCTTGAATTCATCATTGACGGCATATTCCTCGTCGTCGACGCTGAGTTTCCCTGCATATGAATTAGTGGGAAAACCATGAGGAGGTACTAGATTATCAGACCGTTGTTGTAAGCGTCTCGATCGGCACTCGTTGGTGTTGTCTTGTCCAGCAGCTTCCTGAAATCCTGAATGCTGTCCTCTAGTTCCTGCCATAGGCGGTCGATGTTGGCCAGTCGCGTTTCGGTGAAGGCGACAAGGTCAGCATGGAGACCTTGTAGACGCGAGAGACTGTCCATAACGAGTGTATCGAAGTAGAGGTCATTTGGGAGGAAGAAACGCGCGAGGAACTTGTTGACTTGCTGCACGTTTGCTGCGCGTCTCCAGAAAAAAGTCGAAGCGCGATCGCAGTTACGCTTGTCGCAACTTCCAAATTGGGTTAGCGCCGCCAAGCTCGATCTTCGCCTCGCTCTCGCCATTCCGATTCTCCGGCGAGCGGCTTTCACCTCGTTGCCGCCAGTCCACAGCCAATCTGTCTTGATCAAGAGGCATATGTTATCTACCTGGCCGGATCATGAGTCTTGCTCCGGGTCAATCCTACGACTCTGCTGATCGGAGAGATGTCGGAGGCTAATATTGGAAGTGCCGTTGGTATGAACTCAACATTCCCCCGAAGTCCCCTATCGCTCAGCCTCGCCGACTAACAATGTGATTTTGTGTGTCACAGCAAAGCTAGGAGCGGACAGTCAGAGAGCGAGAAGTGAAGGGCTCGAGGGTAAGACTGGATCATTTCGACTGTTCGGAGCTAACAACATCGCCTTAGAGCTCAAACGCCTCCTGGGAGAAGAGAGGAACTCGTAGGTGCACCGTTCCTTTCATTGCTGTGCTGGCTGACCCGGTGATCCAGGGACGATATTGAGGAGGACATTTTCCATAGAATATTGGAGCTTCTCTACAAGCTAGTGTCCAAGGAAAAGCCTGTGTTCCTTCGAGCCACCACCAAGCCAACGACGAGGAACACTGCTGCCTCTCGTTTGCAAGCGGCGTCTGCTGCCCTTCGGCTAGTGGTCGATGTAGCAACCCCGAAGCTCACTTTCAGAACTGCTCTTTCCGTATTGGACCACATAATCGATACCCTCCCCACGTCGGATGGTTGTTTATGCGAGCCACTTCAGAATGACTACCTCAAGAGCTTCAGAATTCTCCTTGGCTATGCTCCACATGGAGAACATATGCGCCCTAAACAGTGGCAAGGATACGTCGACTTTGCGCTCGAATGTCTGACGATTGGCCTCGAGGATGGCATGGTTGACGATGGGATCTCAAGCAGTAGAGATACTACCATGACTCCAAGGAACGGTCCACATTTGTCTGTGCGACTCAGCCACACAAGCTCCAGGAGCACCAGTATGGGCAGTGCGTCTAATTTCGAAGATATATGGGCTGCATTGAAGTGCTTGACATTTTTTGTCAACGCACCGCTCATGTCACGAGCAGCAATTATTGCTGAGAAAGCTCAAGACTTCTTGCAGGTCGACAGAAGGGGCCAAGAAGGGGCATTTGAGACTGTGAACAACCTGCTTTTTGTCTCTCTTGCTGAAGATGTTGCCCTAACCCAGACACTGTTGTCCAACCTCATTCCCGTCATCAGGCGACTGTGGCCCAGCAGGTCTATCCTGCTCCAGCAACAGATGCTCTTAACTTTGTTCACATGCCGATATCTGTTTCTTGCCCAAAAAGCACCCTGGCCCGCAATCGATTCAGCCCTGTTGGAACCGCTTTTGATCACCATGCTTTCAGAATATCGCACTAGAAATGAAAGGGACATTCTACACTTCGACGACCTACAGCCTATTCTCGCCTCAGAAAATACTCCCCTGCAGCTCAAGCAATTTAAACCTGTTCGAAGTTCTCCGCGCGCAATAACCAGCTGGTTTATATTGTCCATCATTGCGTGTCTCGTCATTGGACTGAGTCTCAAACGACATAGCGAGGGTGATACAACTGACACAGCGGAGGTTCCGCGGAAGCGACAGAAGGTCCAGAGCCGCTTGGATGAGATTCTCGAACTAGCAGTCGTGGGCACGGGGCAAGAGAAACTAGTCGCTCTGCAGGTAATCCTGTTTCTCTTCGATCAGCCTGGAGGCATTGAGCAAGAATGGACAAAGGACCTTTACAAGTTATTGCCGGACCTTGGCAGTGAGGACCCTACCATTCAAACTTGGATTCTCCTAATCTTTTCACGGTACGTCGTTTTCCCGAAATCCAGATTTCATGGCTCACCACAATCTAGACTAGCAGTCGACAATGCTAGTCGCGATCATGAAAACTCAGCTTTCTGGCCACAGGTGTGGGATGCAGCAAGCAGAGCAATAACAGTGGTTTCCACAACGAGGGCTGCATGCCATGCACTTGATGTGCTCCTCCGGGTGGGCGCTCTAGACTCGTCAATGAGCGCAAACTCGCTCGACACTGCCTTATTCGGAGGTGGTAATAATGGCCCCAGCAGCCTCACAGACACTTCCCTGGTATTGATGACACATGCGCTGCGCTCTAAATTCTTTGACAACGAGAGACGCTTCGAGTCTTTCGGGCTGAAGATTATTGCCTGGCTCTCTGCTCGCTGGACTCTCCGTACGTTCGTTTCTGTCGGAGCCTTGATAAGTACGGCTGACTTTCTCGTGTAGCTTCAAACCTTGATCGCCTTCACAATGCACAGATTGTCTGTCACGCCAAACCCGAGCTCTTATATTCTTTGTTGACCACTATGTGTGGCCACGCTGATGCGATAACCTCTGGTGAAGCTTGGGCACCGGCGCATTCGTTGTTCGAGTTGGCGCTGATGGCATCGGTTAATCTCGAATTCTTACGTTATCTTCTCGCCCTCCCTTCTTCAATAGTCGAGGCAGATGAAGGTTTCATCACTTTGCCTCGCCAGTTTGAGACGTCCATCATGACTCGCGTTTTCCGAAGTGTGATGGACTTTCTAGCAAACAAGGCGAGAGATTTTGTCCACTCATGGAAGGTGATCTGTGCCGAGCGAACTTCAAATATTGGAAATGATATTGTCGAAATTCTAGGTGTTGTATCGGCCATCTCCTCTGCCTTGTGGGTTCGTTGCAGTGGTCAAGCTCCTGGGTACAAACAGCCTTCAACTCTGAATGAGAGCCTCCGCGTCCTCGCGGATTTCATAGAAAATCAGCCTATCGATCGCTCTCGAGAAATGGCCAATCGTCTCTGCTATTGTGTTGTCACCGCCCATAAACAGCTGTCCGGCATTGGCACCCGCAACTATGGCAAAGAATATGAAGCGGCCATCGAATCCGCATTACATATTGCTCGTCACGCCATGTCATCAAAAAATAGGAACGGGCCTTCAGACTTCGACTTCCTGGATGATGCTGCGTGGGACTCTCAGGCAACTCAAAGGAGCCAGTTTGGCGATGGCATCGACATCTCGAGGCTGGACCTTCCGGTATGCAAAGATTCGCCTGCCAGGTTGGCAAGGTACGCAGTGGAGCTGACGATAGCTCTTCAAATGGTGAAATCTGAGGGAATCCTCGACTCTTCTGCAACTGGTCTGGTCATTGATGAGCTCTTAGCGCTTGATCCGCTTTCGCTCATTGCTGCACGAGGAGTGGTGCAGGAATTTCTAATTCTGAAACCTGCAACAACTCGCCGAGACGCGCACCGCTTGCTCAAGAAACTGGCTGAGTTATATTTGCAGGATGAAGCCTTTGAAAGATGCGAGCCCGCGTTGTGTTTTTGTCTGCACACGCTTGAGAGCTTCATGGATCTTTGGACGACTGAAGACGACGACGACAATTTGGCAGACACGGCCTTTGATATCTATTATTGGTTCCTCAACACCACGACCCGCAGAGGCGTTGCATCCCCGAGAGTGCTATCGACACTGGCGGATCTTCTGGATGCTCTGCTGCGCAAAGATGCATCTTATGGCAGCGAAGACTTACCGTCACCACGCACAAGCCTGCTGAACATCCTGGAAGTCAGTGACGCGGCGGCCCAGTATCGGCTTGCGGGTAAACTGTCTCACATCTTCGAAAAGTACGTCTTGACTCAACACGAAGCAATATTCGATGACATCGTCACCAAATTACCCTCGGATCCCGACAACAAAGAAGGTATCGCTGCGCGCTTGTACATTGTTTCTTACCTTGGAGCTCGATGGCACACCGTCCTGCGGCAAGCCATGTATCACTTATTCGAGACGGTCGCACATGTGCCTTCTACGACAAAACTCGGACGTGGCTGTATTGCCAGAACCTGCGAAGTGCTCAAACTACGACGACCGAGGCAGCTTTTCAAGTTGTTCTCCTCCCAGATTTTCTACACATGGCTGTCACAGGAGACCCTTGGCAGCATGCCTTTCCAACTGTTCGAGTACGCTTCTTTGCAGGAGATGGCCGCTGACAATATCGGGGAGCTCGCAGGGCAGATCGCTCTCCGAGGATTTCAACACTCCGAAGAGCTGGCCCAACTAGTTGGCCAGGACTGGAATCTTGTACTTGGCGAAAACTTTGCCTACGCCGAAGCGTACACACTTGCTTCAGAAACTAGCGTGCCAAAACACGACCGTCTTTATGATGGCTCGGAAAAGTTAGTGCGAAAGCAACTCGGGTCACAACTATACCTTCAACGACTGCGTGAGTGCCTCCCAGACATTATTGCCCTGCTGGTGCTATCCCTTCAAGATGATCGGGGGATTGAAAAGACTCTTCCCAGCTCTAGTCTTGCAATTTGGCAAGAGATGGTAAATGACTCAGGTCAAAATATCCAGCTACCCCTTGCTCAGCAGCCATGCTTCCGAGCACGCTGCCTTCCGGAAGAGCTCAAATACCTGTGTTGGCGACTCGATATGAAAGAGAGTGACATATGGACATCAGGTTTCCTAGTCCATCTGTACAGACAACTTCTGGACAGAGCAAGGCCAGCGTTAGGGCCTCTACACACCTGCAGCATCATCCGCAAAATTCGCATCGTAATCAGCCTTGCGGGTCCGATTGCTTGGGATGGCTATCCATTGGAGATGATGCTGCATAACCTGCGACCTTATCTTACTATTTTCGAGTGTGCTGAGGAGACAATGAGCATCTACCGCTGTCTCCTTCGTCACGGAGCACAATCTCTAGCCTCTCGACCTTCGTTCATCGCTGGTCTCTGTGTCTCAATCTTCGGGTCCCTTACTGGCTTCATCTCATCCACTCAGGATAGCACTACGCAAGAAGATCAATTCATAGCTACTATGACTAACGCACAAGAATTTCGGGCTTTTCTAGGGCAGTACTTGGAATCCCTGGAGCTCACAAACACGGATGGCGAAACACTACGAAGGTTCAAGCACATCATTCGACATGCAAAAGGTATAGCTCAGAAAGGGAGCAGCGCGCAAAGCACAAGCGAAGGGCAGCTGCTTTATGCTTTGCTGTCAGATCAAAGCAGCAACAACCCTCTTCTGTCAGGCTTTCATTTTGATCTCTCGATCAAGATATTGTGCCACCAGTTTTGTACGCCGTCAGACTATCAAGACGACATACTTGCCAATGATGAGGATGCTTCTCGATTCTCATCTACACTGGAAAGCCTGTTGACCAGATTCGATTTAGACAAATCTTTCCGCATCTGGGCAGCGCAGGGGATTGGTCGGGGTTATATCATGCGTGGGTTAATCTCGACCAGCGACGATAAAACACAGCCTGTACAAAGTCAACCGCCCGATGCCGGACTCGAAGCGGTCTCTTCCTACACAAATATTGTATGCTACCTGGTGGATCTGCTCTGGAAGTCTGATTATCCTGATTTGACTGTCGCCGAAAATACTCTAGAGCTCATCTCTAGCAACCTGCGCGAAGCTGATGAATCCGCCTTTTTAGCAGCCGATTTTGACAGAAGGGTTGTGCAAGAGTTGAGGTTCAAAAATTTCCCATGTCCTGCTACGCCGCTGTCCACGACGTTTGGTCTCATAGGCGAACAAGGAGAGACTCACGATTTCCACAGCCGGTCGCGTGACTGGGCCACGGACCTACTCATCCAGATTTCCGAGGCTGCTGCTGGTGACCCTGTCTTGGGCTTTCTCCAGCCTCTGATCAATACGGTCCCTGATGCAGCCGGCATCCTGCTACCATATTGCGTCCACCTCATTCTGCTTGGTGAAACCAACTCCCACCAAACTTTCCACGAGGGACTATCTCAGACCTTCTCTGCAGGTTTTTCGTCAGGGGACCGTGCATCCAGTGAGGCCAGAAAATTGATTCTGAAAACGCTCTTGTATCTCCGAAAATGCCACCTCCCCAACGAGACCAACATGGCGCAACGAAACTCCTGGCTGGAAGTGGATCTCAGCAACGCCGCCATGGCTGCTAGTGATTGTCAAATGTGGCATGAAGCTCTGCTCTTCTTAGAGCTGCACTATTCTCAAGCCCAGCTCCAGACAGGTCGGTCATCTCGAAGGTCGTTCGCGATGACTAACGAGGTCTCAACGGAAGTTTTCTCCAAGATTTATGAAAACGTCGACGATCCTGACTTCTTCTATGGCAAGCACCAGATCCACGATCTGAAGTCAATCATCAGCAAAATGAACCATGAAGGGGCGAGTCAGAAATCCTTGTCTTTTCAGAGCGCAATGCTCGATTCTCAACTGAGACTGGAGGAGCCAGAGAATACCTTGGGTGATGTAGCCTTCACAACAGCACTGACCTTGAGCGCCGCAAATATGCAAGGTATATCGGAGGCAGTGAAGCAACATTACGAAGGGCCTCACAAGGCCACCTCAGCCGAGCATAACTTAGCCCTGGGTCATTGGGATCTGTTCTGGGCCAGTGAGCCGTCCTCACCGTCGACAGCCTTGTCATCACTATTTCGCAATATGCACAGCATATCGAGTAAGAGCAGTCTAGCTGGAGAGCTGGACTTGTTATTGCTGCAGCATGGGGATACCTTGCGAATGGGCGTTATAAACCGGAGTCAATTGGGTGATCTCCATCCAAAATTGGCAGTCCTGGCAGAGGCGAGGCAGATTGTGGGTGCAACATCTGCAGAGACCCTAGAGTCGACCTGTACGGCGATAATGGCGAGGGATCAAAGGATCAAGCTTGCAGAGTAAGTACTGCTACACACGACATTATGGTGACTGACCGCAGCAGATTCAACGCATTATCACCGATCCTGGCCGGCAGGGAGGCCGCTTTCGCCGCTATCCGTCGAAATAATCACTTACGGGCTGCTTTTTCATTGAACCTGTCGCAGGCGCTGCTGCTTGAAGTTCAAGTTACTCGACAGTCTCTGGACATGGCCTCCAGTTACGAGGCGCCGCAATTCAGTCTGAATCGAGCAATGTACCTCTCACAGTTAGCTCAGTTGGCTGAAAGTGTAGGACTGGCAGTCGACGTCGCTATCAACTATGACCTGGCCAAGACGTTGTGGGCTCAAGAGGAAGTTTCAGCCTCCATTGGCATTCTACAAAACCTGAGAGACCGCAAAGAAGCTGCGGCACAGCCCATCAGCGTTCCGCGAGCTGATATTCTGACAGATCTGGGACACAAAATTGCTGAAGCCCGTCTAGAAAAGCCGGATGAGATTATAGAACAGTACCTCGCGCCAGCCATCCGAGAGCTGCAGGAACCTCGTACAGGCTCTGCTGCAGGCAGGGTGTTCCATAACTTTGCTGCGTTCTGCGACATGCAATTGCAGGACACGGACAACCTGGATGACTTCACGCGTATCAGCAAAATCAGAGATCGGAAAATGCACGAAGTCCGGGAGCTAGACAGGATGGTAAGAAATGCCAAAAGCGACCAACAGCGAGCCAAATTGAAGACACATCTAGCCAGAGCTAAAACCTGGTTCAAACTCGACGAGCAAGAATGGAGACGAGTTTCGCAGGACCGGGAGAATCTCATTCTTCGGTGCCTGGAGAATTATCTCTTGTCAATGAGGGCTTCCGATGACTACCCGAGTGATACCCTCCGTTTCATTGCACTGTGGCTGAATCAAGCTGAGAGTCCAACAGCAAACGCTGCTGTCCACAAGTACCTCGATTCAGTCCCTACTCTCAAGTTCGCCCCACTCGTCAATCAGCTGTCGTCTCGCTTGTTGGATATCCAAGATGATTTTCAGAAACAACTCAAGAATCTCATGTTCCGCATCTGCTCTGATCATCCATATCACAGTCTGTACCAGGTATTTGCAACCAGCAAGTCGAAAGGCCCGCCTGGGGATGAAGTGGCTGCTTCCAGGTTCGCCGCAGCAAACGTACTAACCGAACGTGTCAAGCAACAAAGCACATCCTCGGCAATATGGACGACCGTTCACAATACTTGCGTTGCTCTGAATCGGGTGGCTGCGGAACCACTCTCTGACAAAGACCTCAAGAGTGGCTCGAAACTCGCGCTACGAAAGCTGCAACATGGTCCAGCGCTAGAAGCTCAGATCACGAAACCCACGACAAAGATCCCTCCCCCAACCATGAACATTGCCCTGCGAGCAGATCGAGACTATTCAAATGTACCGACTTCGAGTACGATTGATCCAACGATTTCTGTCGCCGGAGGTGTATCAGCTCCCAAAATCGCGACAATCACGGCGTCGGATGGGTCTCGACACAAACTGCTGTTGAAGGGAGGCAACGACGACCTTCGGCAAGACGCCATCATGGAGCAAGTCTTTGAACAGGTATCCAACCTTTTGAAGGACCATCGTGCCACACGGCGTCGCAACCTCGGCATTCGAACCTACAAGGTCATCCCACTGACGAAGAACTCGGGCGTCATCGAATTTGTCCAGAACACTATCCCACTCAATGAGTATCTGCTCCCTGCTCACGCGCGCTACTATCCCAAGGACTACAAGGCGAACCGTGCCAGGAAGGATATCTTCGAGGCGCAGGCCAAGAATCATGAGCAGCGTGTGCGAGCCTACCAGACGGTCACTGCCAACTTCCACCCAGTTATGCGGTTTTTCTTCATGGAGAAGTTTCTTGACCCAGATGACTGGTTTTATAAGCGTCTCAACTACAGTCGGTCCACCGCTGCTGTGAGCATCTTAGGCCATGTCCTTGGACTAGGAGACCGACACGGACACAATATCCTCCTGGACGAGAAAACCGGAGAAGTGGTCCACATCGACTTGGGCGTCGCCTTCGAAGCAGGCCGCGTTCTCCCTGTTCCCGAAGTTGTACCCTTCCGCCTCACTCGTGACCTGGTAGACGGGATGGGTCTCACCGGAGTGGAAGGCGTCTTTCGGCGATGCTGCAATTTCACCCTCGAAGCCCTCCGCCACGATCAAGAAGCAATCATGACCATCTTGGACGTCCTCCGCTACGACCCACTATACTCGTGGTCCATCTCCCCCCTCCGTCTGCAGAAGATGCAGGAAAACAACGAGCAAGCCGCCGCTGCGGATGCGGCTAGTGTTGCTGGCGGACCGTCGACTCCAACGTCGACGACCAGCGGCGTCGGTGACAACGCAGGCGGCGTGATTGCGGCACGCAGAGAAGAGACCGAGCCCTCGGAAGCGGATCGCGCGTTGACCGTCGTGGCCAAGAAACTGGGCAAGGCTCTGAGTGTGGAAGCCACCGTGAACGAGCTGATCAGGCAGGCCACGGACGAGAGGAACTTGGCTGTGCTGTATTGCGGGTGGGCTGCTTATGTTTAAGGTGTTGGGTCTTGATCTATTGGAGGTAGGTGGCAGGGCAGACATAATGGGGACAAGTAAATCAGTTCGATGACAGAGAGGAAGAAACGGCAAAGGTGAAGAGACGGAACGAATAGGATGTGTGTGTCGAATATCCCATTCAACACACGATCTGGACGCGGTAGGGAGTTGTCTCTCGAAGAGAGTTGATGACGAACTATGGACGAAGTGTATGTCAAGAGGCGTGACTTGACGTGTATAGACAGGCGTTCCACCTTCATTCGCTGCTGATTGACACATTGAACAGAATACAGGCACATCTACCCCCCCCCCTACACATACTGCATTGCATATAGATAGATACAAGGAGTGTGTGTACATGGGCCATATTCCCCAGTCCTTTCATACATCCGGCCCTCCTTTTTCCCTTCCGTGATGAAAACACTGAATGCACTGTACCTTTTCCTTTTTTTTTTCTTTCTCGAGATGCCGCCCGAAGCTCCCATGAAAGATCACACAGAGTACATAGTTACTTACAGTACATATAACATCCCAGACCCCATCCAGCCTCCAGATTTTCCAGGTCCATGTCCAAACCCAAACCCCCTGAGATGGCGACGCGTATAGATACATCGAACAGTGCCACCACCATTGAGACGTACTCCGTATATTCGTACCATTTGCCGCAAGAAAAAAAAAATGGGGCACGATTAGATTGCACCTCTTCCAACGAGGAACATATACACCATGTTACATGTCGCATGTCAGACCTCCCATCCATCGTTCGCCCACTGGCTCGACCACTCCGTCGGCGCCTTCTTCTCCGTCATTGTTAGCCACGGCTTATGGCCGCCGTTGCCAAGGGCCTTCTTATACCCCATGTCCCACCTCTCCTCGACCTCCATCAGCATGGCGCGCTGCGGCTGCGCGTGCAGAGGCACAGGGACTTTTGGAACCTTCGGGCGTCTTCCTCGCGGAGATCCTGAAGTGCTAGGACCAGAACCAGAACTGGATCCGGTAGAGCCTTTCGTCGTCGTCGTTGTGGGCGCAGAAGCTTGTGCAGAGGAGGAAGCTTCGTTCTCTGCATCCCGGATGATTGCCTTCAATTCTTTGTCGTCGCTTGTGATCTGCGCCTTGATGTAAGTAATATCGCCCGAACTGTTCAGACTCGACATGACACTCTGTCTCGGCGTGTATGCATATTTATCCAGATCAATTGGTCCGTCTTTCGGCACGATGAATGGATCCAAAAACGCCTCTTCGCCCTTGTCGAGCAACTGGTTAATGTCTAGACTCTCGCCGTGGGGGATCTTTTCCGGGTGGCTGGGCGTCACGCAATCCATATCGACTTCTTTGCGGAGAACATGGTCAATGTCCACTGCTGAGAAGAAGGCGCAAGACTGTGGAAGGTCTTCGATGCCGATTTGTTGAGAGAACATAGCCCTTGTCCACAGATTACTGATTTGCAAGGCCAGAGCAGCTCGATACCTGTCCTCGTGTTTGACGAGGTATCTGATTTCGTCGTGCACGGTGATCGCAAGGCGAGCATCCAGGTTGAACCGCCGGAATAGGTAGTCCATGCTGACTATCAAAAGATGAAGGTAATCGACGCCAGACGACTGAATGGCCCAATTGATCCGAGAAGTCATGAACGAGCCTTGGTTGATGAATCTTCGCATTAGAGCTTCAGTAATCCCTGCTCCTAGCACCGGAGTGCGAGGACGCTCCTGCTCGGCAAATTCCTCGAGTTTGTTGAAGACAAATGATTCGGTACCTCCTCGCCAGAAGCTGCCACTCCCAAACATCTTGCGCCGTGTACGAGTTCCTTTCGTTTCCTTGTAGAGTTTCGACGCAATGTCATTTGTTTGCTGTTCCGACAGGGATGGGTTGAATTGCCGAAGCAGAGTCGCCGCGAATTTGAGCCCGGCGCCATAAATACGACCGTAGTTAAACACTTTGGCATCGTTGCGAGAAATTCCCAGAATCTTTGCCGTCTTGGAATGTAGATCTGTTCCAGCAGCCTTGGTTCCTTCCAAGGTCATGAAGCCAATGGCATTTCCGCCATGCAGCTGAAACTGGGCATCACCGACAACAGACGCAATCCATAATTCTTGGCTATCGACATCGGCACCGACAAAGCAGTATCCCGGCGGTGCTTTGATCATCGCCTTGAGTTCCGATCCCACTCTGTTTGCCTTGGCGTTCGAGGCAGTGAGCCACGTATTCTCCACGGCACGTCGAGTAATAGTACCCATGGGGATGATCTGAGGAAGAATGAACCCCTGATCAGACTTGCCGGCCAGGCTGGGATCGCGATCGGCTTCTCTGACAACCAACTGAGAAGTGATCCTATCTCGGGCCGAGATCCAGTATGAGCATGATGCATTCATCTCCAAAGCTTCCTTTGCCAGAGCGAATTTGGATGACAAAGTACCTAATTCAAAGTACTGTAAGTAGCCCTTTGCCAGTGGTGACGCACAACGCGCTGTTGGGCCATCTTTGTGGGGAAGCTTGAAGTATGTGTGCTGGAAATCCGACTGCAGCCTGGAATTCGTCTCTTCGGACATGTCACAGCTGACAACGTTGCTGTGCTCATATTTCCCAGTATCCTTGTTCGGGACACGAAAAGTCCAACCATGTTGGTCAGACCATACCAGAGGGTAGCCATCCCAAGACAGCTTCAACAACAGTGGAGCAATTCTTGTCCGGACTGTCAAGTTTATTGGGGACGTATTAGAGGTGAATAGATCTCGATACCAGTTAGGGGCGCCTGGCTTCTTTTGTCGTGCGACGGGAACGGGTTCTTCGCCTTTCTTCTTGGCCTTCTTGTATTTGATCTCTTGTCCTGACCAGTCCAGCTGATTCAGCCACGGATCGTTGTTGTAGATCTCTGGCTTATCTTTGACTTCTAAAGCCGCATCTGATAGCTGCAAAAGCCGCTGCTCGACATCCTTCAGTCTCTGGAGATATGTCTCCTCGGCTCGACGGATGTACTCGTCCCAGGAGTTGTCGACAGGCAGGATGACGGACGACAAATGCCGCAGTGCGGCAAAGCTCACAGGGTGTGGACAGGTTTGTAGAAAATTGGGGAAAACTTTCTGAAAGACTTTGTGTGTGATGGCCACATCGGCGGCGCAGTAGTCGAGCAGCTCTTCGATTCGCTGAAGGATGCCGTCTCGATCCAATTCACCAAAATAATCTCTTTGGCTCTTGTCGATCGTGATGCCTGTATGGAACTTGGCCACATCCCGCAACGAGTTGATGGAGCTTCTGCCCACCCAGAGTTCCTCCTCTTCTTCACTCAACATCTTACTCTCAAGCATCCTCTGAAGCTCGACCGAGTTATGGTCGCTCGACATTTTGTCCCGCAAATCCCTGTTCTTCTTGTGCTTCATCCAGGTTGGCCGCTGCCTAGAACACATACCATTGACAGCGACATGCAGCGACATCGTGTCGATGAAGAAGTTCCGCGACTGTTGCAGGTCGTACTCCTCCTTAACTCTCGCACGATCATATCCAATGTTATGTCCAACGACGATCCGCGGTTTTGTTGGGTCACCCAAGGGGATCAATTGTCTCGGATTTGTTGTTTCCCCCAGTAGCCAGGGTGATATCCATGCATACCAAGCCGTAGGACTGGCAGCAGTAGCCATGACCGCGAAGGGGGATTCTTTCCACATGGTTTCAACGTCGAAGGACAGCATCGTCTCGTCTGGCGAATCCACCTCTTCCGTCGTCATATCCTGGTTATACTTTGTCCACCCGCTTCGAATGACCCATTTGCGTGGTCTTTGAGGCGTGCTTGCTCGCACAAATGCCTTGCCGTATGACAAGTATGGCTCGGCTGCGTCGAGACCCAGCTTGGTGAAGTGCTCGTCTAAACTGCTGCCTATGACCGGGGGCACGTCCAACCCGATGGCGGGGGTATTGTCTTGATTTTTTCCCAGTAGATCATGCCGACGCAGATGGTCTTTGGACAATTCTACCAACTCTGGACGTGGTCGCGTGGCCCCAGAAGGGAAGACTTGAGGATGGAGGTAGTCGGACAATTGTTGTATACCGATCTCATTATACCTGGGACTCGCGACCTGCGCGAGTGACTTGCGATCGGTGGCAGAAGCATTGACAGAGGGGTCAACGCTGGAGGCATAATGTCGTCGTAGGATGGCGGCCGCTCTCGATGCAAATTGTGGGCGTAACCTGAACTTTTGCGAGGTTCTGATGTAGCCTCGCGCACACTGCGCGGGCGTAGGAGGCCACAGCATCTATGCGGCGGTTATTGCTTTACTGCTCGACACCATGACGGGGAGCTGGGTCGAAATTGGAATGCGAGAGTCTTGACATCGTAAATTCAGGAGGCGAACACGCGATGCGTAATGAAGAGGCTGCAATGCGGAGAGATAAGGTTTCTTATCCCCACGTGACGCGCTCCTTTTCGACGTCTCCACTTCAAGTTCAGTGCAGTGAGTGCATCCTCTTCACCTCCATGCTCTGGCGGAGATACAAACTACTTGACTTGAAGCTAAATAATGGCATTCAATGCCAAAAACCTAGAGTATAACAAGCAAGAGCCCGCTTTCCTCCGCAGGCTAAAAGGGGAAGTCGGCGGCGTTGATGGACGACACAATGTGCAGATCCCTCGGCCAAAGAAGGATAGGTTGAAGACAGGGGACGATGATGAGGACGAACCAATGATCCTGGATGAGCGAGGTGAGCGAGTAGAAAGGGCCGAGTTCGAGAGAATGGTGAAAGGAGAAGACGACGCGCAAAAATCCACGGAGGGGGAGGAAGCTGGTGGTACTGGGTCTCAAGTAGAAGGAAGCAAAGGTTCCGAGCCCCTTGAAAGACAGAAGGTGACAGAGATTGGCTCTGCCGCAAATGCAAAGAAGAGGAAGGTTGGCAAGGTCGTTGGAGGCGAAGACGAAGACGGTGAGGATGTCGAGGATCGAGCCCTGAAACAGAAAGACGGTTCTAAGGAGAAGGCCGAAAAGCCTCCTGCGGCTAAGGTCGGACCATCTGCACCAAAGAAGAAAGGAAAGAAGATCAAGTTGTCCTTTGACGATCCAGATGGATGAAAGGGAACACCACCAAACTATCCACCGTCAAAAAAGCCATTTTGACTGGTCATAACGAATGGGCCAGTCGACCAGAATCGTGCCTCAGACAAGACTGCAATCCAGAGATGACCTTTGGAAGGAATCCGCGTCCTTGCCTTGAGATGCAGAGCTTGTCCGGCTTGGAAAAGGACCAAAGGCCAAGCTCATGCTAGCAAAGAACAGAAATCTCCGAATGTCAGGAACTCCTTCGGCAAGCGACCTGGTTTGGTCCTTGGGCGCCCTTTGAGGAGACGAGATGCGCCGGATGAAGAACGACTCCCGTCTGAGTCAAAGGGCGTGATATGACCAATGCAACGGACATCATCAGACTGGGCATGGGACACACTCTCACACAGGGCCGAAAGGGAGGCAGAGAGCGCACAATCATGGATTACTGCTTACACCAAAATCGAAGGACACATCAGAGATACTATCTCATCCCATCTCCCTCATGATCCGCCCAATCTCCCTCCGAGCAAACTTCTCCCTCTCGGGCATGGGCATCTCTGACCCTGCCTCGCGGATCGCGACGACTCTCTCCATCAACACCTGCAGCTGCTCGACCTGGGTGTCTTCATCTTCTTGCTCCCTCTCGGAGCCTTCTTTGTTATTATCATCAGCGCTGTCATCGATGTCTTCCAGCATCGACATCTTCAACTCCATCATCTCGCGTTGGAGTTCATAATCAATCCCTAGCAGCCCCGTGCTGTCTCCAAGTATGTTCTTTGATGTAGTAGAAGAAAACAAGTCTCCAGTGTCGTCCACTTGATCATCGTCGACATCTGCAAAATTAAAATCTCCAAGCCCATCTTCCTCACCATCCGAGTGCGGCGATGCAGACCAATCCACCGCCTCGAGCGCTTCAATGACTCTTTTAATCCCTGTCTTTTCGCCGAACTCGTTTCTTTCGTCTTCTCCATGCCTGCTTATATCATGGGACCCCTCCTCGACGGCCTTGCCATCTTTTCCCTCCTCCCTTGCTGCCTCCTCGAGCTGATCATTCCACGCGACAAAATCCCAGCCTAATATGCCTCTTTCGGACAAACAAATCTCCTCCAAACCCTCCATCGTCTCGTTCAATCTGGCGTGGCTTACTGTCGACGCCGTAGCCGTAGACTGTACTACGACTAGAGAAGCAACATCCCGCCCGTAGCTTTCATCCTCGATCGCCTCGCGCAGTGCATGGACAGTCTCGACGAGCGAGACATACGACTCCAGGAGCGATGCATTCGTCGACGAGGCGAGAGGGAGAATGAGGATGACGCCACCAATGACAGCGCGGACCTCTGCCGCCTCGGACGAGAGCATTTGCTCTTTCCACTCCTCAAGCGTCACTGACGCGGACTCCGCGAGCGGCGCCTGCTTGCCCCCTTCCGAGTCGGGGCCATGGCTCGGATCCTTTCCAGCGGCGCTCTTCTTCTTTGTCGTTTCTACCGCTGCATCTCCGAAAGGCAATTCATCGCACCAAATACTCACGTCGGCACTGTAGTATTTCGTCCTCAACCTCAGCGGCGGGTGTGAGGTATACCCCGCAAACGAGGTGACTTCATCCGACGGCTTGGAGCCGGTGACTGCTTCGAGAAACGCGCGGAACGGCGGAGTCGTTGTTCTGTCAGGCGGTGATGGAGATAATATGAGGAGGCGGAAGGATGATGGCTTTGTTGTAGGTGGCGGGTTGGATGTCATCTCCCTTCCCTTCGCCTTCCGCACGGATAGGCTGGTGCTATTAGAGGTGTACCTCGCAATCGGTCAACCTCATGGGGAGTCCAAAGACAGTCTTGATGGTCAGAGATGAGGATGATTGAGTTACTGAACTACTACTAATGCTTAACAGTTCAAATGAGGTTTCATTCTTATTTGTATTCAGCCTTGGCAGCCCATGTTTTCAAATACATTCGTAAGCGAGGCTGCATCGCCTTCTATGCACTCACTCGTTCATTCGTACTCGGGCACCAGAAATCTTCCAGCCCGGCCGCAGTCTGTTTTTGTGTTGGACTCAGTTGGACAATCGTCCATAGATTTCCTGGAGAGCGGCCATATCTTCCAAAGCAAGCTCTCTCTCTCTCACACACAGAAAATTTTTATCTCCCTCGCTCTCTTCCAGCCGCTCTGGATCTGTGTCCCTTGGGTGCGGCGATTCTTTTGCTCTTTTAGGCGGTAGACAAGAATGCGAACTTCACGAAGAAACCTCTTCCCAATTCCCGTTCCCACATCATCCGATTTTGCATCTGTGCCCGCCTAGTTTCTCCTTCCAGCCCGTGCCCGGTTGACCGTAGCTCTCCCTCTTGCCAGACCAACACCGCGGCCTCTGGTCCCCCTAGATCTGAACATGGGCGCATTTCGAAGCATGTCGGGCACGATGAAGAAGCGCACGTGGCTGCCTCGGATGTAGACTTGATCAAGGTGCGACACTCGGCCGTCGCGTGCTGTGGCGGTGATGTCCTTGAGTTGGACATTCATATTATCTTCGGCTATTCATTTGGCAGATGTTAGCCTCAGCGGTTCAAGTGCAAAGGGGTGGTGGGCTTGAACTAGGGAAATCTCATGGAAAATGTAGACATGCGCACCTTCAAGCAGTTTCCCTCGGTACACTTGACCGGACGTGAGTTCCAAAGTCACCACATGGCCCTGCGTAGTACATTGACCATCAGCATTATCCAGATATACGCTATGGGTGTTCCAGCAATGCCCACCTGTGCCTCGTTGAGCAGCTTGATCGGAATGCCGATGGTGGATGTGAGTTTGCCCATGTTGGGCGCCCGCGAGTCACGGTATCTTGACGCAGAAGGGCGATGTAGTAAGGGATTGATGGGACGACACAGGCGACAACAGAACCAACACAATTGAGGCGGCCGCAAGTGGTTGTAGAAGCTGATTCAAGGCTGGTTTTGGTTTGATGGCGCACCGCAACCCACGAAAATGAAAGCGACATTTGACATTTTGACCTGCATGACTAAGTCCGACTTAACTCCGCATCAAAGCTGTTATATTCACTTCGCTTGCATCTGCTTGCCCATCCTCCGCATTGACTCAACTTGTTCCCAGGAGGAAGATCAATCGGGTCTCCTGACATGCCACTCTTTTCCAATGTGCCCGCGCTTCGCCTGACCCTAGCCTACGCTCTGAACGAGCCTTCGTGCCTGCTCCCGCACAGGACCATTCCAACTCTTCTCCCGCTCCCACTACCAATTGGCCATTGGCTTCCCTCTCTAAACGCCGCGGGCAAGAAACCTACCATTCGTGCCCTTGTCATAGACAAAGACAACACACTATGTCCTCCAGAGACGGTCAAATTACACCACGCATACCTAAACAAGATCGAAAAGATCAAGGGAAGCGACGAGTTCAGCCACAGTCCGCACAGCATCTTGATCGTCTCCAACACTGCAGGAAGCTCCTCTGCGCCGGAACATGAAGCCGAGGCCAAGCAGCTGGAAAAGGAGCTGGGCATTTCTGTGCTAAGACAACACCCCGACCGCAAGAAGCCATTCTGCGGACCGGATATTTTGCAGTATTTCAGAGATCATGGCGTTACCGAGGATCCCAAGGAGATCGTAGTTGTGGGGGACCGGTTAGCCACTGATGTTCTGCTCGCCCGTGAGATGGGTAGCTGGAGCATTTGGACCCGAGACGGATGGCGCAACCCCGAAACGCCTGGGCGAGATTACAGAGGCTTCTTCAGTAGGATCGAGGGCCGCTTCGAACGATTGATGCGAGGTGGCCTGGGAAGGGTAGCTCCACTACCAAAGACTATATCACCATCCTGACGGAAGACAAAAGCGTCTTGAAACAAATTCGATGCGAGGTCAACAGGGTATCTCTAGCTAGCCATGACTGGGGGTCTCAACGCCTCACTGGCCGGTGGTATGCCTCCAATGTGAGCGGATATACCATCGCTCTCAACGCTTCCCCAACTGATCTCCATCGACCGAGCTTCCTGAAGTGACAGTCGGCGTCACATTCACGGAAGAAACATATGGCGCAAGAGACTTGATGTCGCCCGAAGCCGCAGAAATCGCCGCTGGCAACTCGGACACATTCGTGGGGATAATACCAAGCTGAGTGGTACTCGTAGACGCCGGACTGGCGAAGGGCATCGAATACGTCCTGGGCGTCAAGTCCCTCTTGAGCAAGATACTGTTGTCGGAGGTGACCCTCCTGCTCACGATCTCAGCCACGGCGTCCTTGAGCGAGAACCTGTTCTCCTTGACTCTCACTTCCATCCTTCCGGCAAAGGGGACCCTCGTCCAATTGACCTTGTCCTCCACCACTGGCAACTCCCCATCACTTCCGTTCTGGGTGGTGGCGAACATCATAAACCTCACCCCCTCGAAGAACACCGTATGACTCGAGCTGGAATTGACAATACACGTCGCGCGTTTCAAATCGATCTGGTGCCTTGAACACCTCGCCCGGGAGCTGATAATCGTCTCAATAGCTTCCTCCCGCCCAATATTCCGCTCCGACTCGTTCTCATTGTCCACAAAATCTCGCGCAAAAAGACTGTTGAGGTTGGCGCGGCTGGGGTTGGCGTCGTCGTACTCGATAAACAGCCTCTTGAGGCATTGCAGGCCTTGGGGCGATTTGGTGGTGATGGCGTGGTACGAGGCCGTGTGGTCGTGGAGATGGACCTTGCTCATCCTGAGGCTGTTTCGCTTCGCTCAAAAGTATATTTTTTGAAATCGAAACTGCACTGTTTTACCTGTCGCGCCAAAAGGGTGCTCTTGTTCTTGTTGCTGAACAAGGACGATTCGTACTATGTATCTCTGTTCTTGTATTGTCGGAGGACCGAGCACAGCCCACAGCCCGAACGTTTGAAGATATTTCTTATGTCCGTCCCCTACTCACACGAGCGCTCTACAGTAATACCGAGTACGCGTCCCTCCCTAGGTACGAGCGTCGAATATACGAGTTAACGACGAGCCCGGGGGGTTCCCGTTTCAAGGCCCATCCATCCACTTCCCCTTTCCCCCCTGGTTCATTTCAATCTTAATAGTTATTGCCCATTCTCCACACGCGCTTCAGCCCCCCAGCCACCTGCCAGAGTTGCACGAAAGTTCCCTTCAAGTTTTCATCCAGCTGAAAATAACGATTACCTACCTAGGTAGGCATTACTCCCCGTTGGCGCCGTATTATTATTGCTGCGTACTTCGTCGTCGTGAGTTCGTGTCTCGTGTCTCGTTCTGGCGAGTCGCGAGTCGCGACCTTAGCGAGGCATTTCTGGCCTCTGTATTCGGTAAGTGTTCCAGATGCTTTCCTAACGGCCAACGGCCAACGGGCCTGTCATTGTATCCGTAAATTTACACTTTCGGTCTCCGGATCTTCCTCTTGGTACTAGTCCCTCACACCATTCTCCATCTTCAGCCTCAGCGTCAACATCTTGTACGAGGTATACTCGTTAGTATAACAAACCAGTCAAAAACACAGGAATGAGAAAACCCTGGTTAAACATTTGGCTTCATATTCGTTTTCATCATCACCATCATGTTCATTCATTGCCAATCGTCATGTAAAAGAGAATCCCGTTTGCTCGCTCGATCCCTGAGGTGGCCCAACCCCAGCGCCATGCATGAAAACACATTCAACAAAAAATCATGGTGGCCGACGATGCGGATTTGCATCGGCCTTAACCCATGCCCACGCTTGCTTCCTGCGTACCCTGTATCCTTCATCCAGCCCACCTAAATGTCCAGATTAACCCATTAAACCCCTTCTTCGGAATCAGTCGTTCTCCCCACAACAACGAAACAACCTGCTGACATTTATCGGCCGTCTCGAAGAAAGCACCTCTGGCAGCACCGGGCCTCAGCTGCTGCGCCAATTCTTGCACCAAGTCACTCAAGGCGTGCCACTTTTTATCGCCCGTCTTGTTTTTCTGCTTCATCCCCTGCAACTCGGCAGCACCATTGCTATGGATGCGGCGAATGCTCCAAACCGCGTTGGGGATGTCATTCCTCTCAGCAAAGAGCCGCAAAAGCATAATGTCTAGACGAATGTTCCATTCCGGCACAGGCGACGCACATGGCAGACGTAACGCAAGCAGGCCGCTTGTAAGCGCGAGGTCGGCGGCTAGTTGCGGCTCTAGACGCGTCGTTCTAGGAATGAAATATGTCGGATGCGGTGCCAAGGCTGTCGTTGTTAGCTGTGTTGGGTCGGATTGCTGGCCTGCAGAGACGTCGTCAGGCTTCTTGCCGCTTTCCTCACTGATGCTCGTTCGCGTCTCGGAACTTGATGCGACAGACTGGGTGTCTTCGTGGACAGCTGATGCGGAGTCATCCGAAGATTGGCCATCTTCTTCCTTTGGGATTTCGATAGCCTGACAGGCGTCACAGCGTTTTGGCTCAGCGGCAGCCGCTCCTTTCGCCTGTAAATTCTGCAGTCTTTTGGTGATAAGCCGGGCTAAAGCGCCGCTGCGAAGCTCGCACAGTCTGTATGCACTGACTGCAATTAGCTTGCACACACGATTAATGCCGTCCTTGCTCTTCGAGGACACATCCACTAGTTTGCTTGTTCGAGTTCGCACAATACTGGATGCCTCGTAGCACACGCGCTCAAACAGCAGCTCGCCACTGACAAAATTTCCTTGATCGACGCAAATCTCACCTTGAAGCAGGACCTGCTCAAGATAAGCACAGATGGCTTTGTAAGTGTGAAGATTGGGTTCGTTTTTGCTTGCGAGAACATGTTTTGCAAGCTCGTCACGAAGAGATGTGACTCGGCTGTTGCACGTGTCAGAGTTTACCTGTGCCTTGCCCACTGATGCGGTTTCTGGAGCCGGACTATGAAAGGTGATCGAGTTGATGTGTGTGTGCAGCCATGGCAGAACAGCAAACTTTACAAAACTGTCAGTTCGGTTGCCATAACGATATCGTGGCTCTGCTGATAGTGAAAGATTGTATCCCATGCCTCGCGCAAAGGGACATTTGACCATGATCCATAGAGCGTGCATAAAGTCCGCCGAGTCCTTGTAGCTGCAGATATAGAAGGGAGCATCCGACTTGGTATTGCCACCACTGAAAAGCATAACAGGGTCAAATCTGGACTGAAAAGATTGCGATGCATCATATGGCGCACTGACTAGCCTGGACGATGGGAAAGGGCCGAAGACTGGGATGCCGTAGTTTTTCAACTTCGCACCGAGCCCTCGGATGCCCGACTGAAGACCAACCACCTTGTTCTCCATGTACAACACCGTCTTGGCCTCCAAGTAAAGTTGTCTGCATGTTTTCAGAATGGCGGGGTGTAAGTGGCAGCTGTTTATGACTGGCGGACTTCCATTGATCTCTTGATTTCCCTTGTGCTTGAAAGGTGCGGCTTCGAGAATACGCCTTGGATTCAGGTAGAGCAATTCGGAGATGCTATTTGGCGGCGGGCGGCGAGTGTGAGCCTTGCGGTTGCGATCTATGCGGAGGAGGTAGCGGAGGATCTTGAGGCGAAGCTCAACGGGCAGACGAAGCAGCGGCGAGGGGTGTGAGGGTTCTTTGGAAATGGCATCATGTTCTTCCTCTTCGTCTCCATCACAGTCAAAAATCAAACGGAGGGTAAGGACCTCCCTCGAAGGTAAAGGCATCTTCTGCGCATTGCGCGTCCCCAGTCGGACGGTAAGGCTACGCAGACATAGGGTAGATTTCGTGCAAGGGTCGGGGTGACGGGGTCGATCTGGGCGAGTCGAGCGTTACAGGTGTGGACCTCGCATAGCGTAGATACCCAGGGTAGTTGTTGTCAGCGGCCCGTGGACCCGGTGGTGTGATTATACGAGGTCACAGTAGCCTGGACTCGAGAGAAGGATGAATGCCTCGAGCTTGAGAGAAAGCGGGGATCATGTCTGGGGATGAGGTGGAGAGGGTGAAGAATGTCAATGCAGGTTGAAACACAGCAAGTGAAAAGAATTGATGAGCTAAAGATCTAGCCAGATATCGTTACTAGATGGGAATCTTCAACGGAGGAAATTTTCAACAATAGGGAAAGAATGATGCATTGCAAGTAGTGAGAATGGGATTCGGAGAAAAGCAAAGAGTGTCACGCAGCCGCAGAAATGCTATTGTGACAGCGAGTTCAGCGAAGCGAATAAGTCATCGCCGTGGTGCCGCAGGAGTCACTCGCCTTAATAAGCATTTTCCCGTGCCACGTGATGGTGGGCAGCCAAAAAGGGATCTGAACGGCAGTGCATGGTTGAGAATTCCCGTTGAGAAGCCACTTGCCATCTCTCTGTATTGGTTTCATAGCATGTCACAGTATCTTCATGTTCTTGCTATGGGATGCACTCCTCATTCTGTAGTTCAGAAGCGCTAAAGCAATGTGAGCTTGCCTGGCCAACTTGCTATCACCCCGGGTCCGACTATTCATGCACACGTTAGAATCAGGCCGCAGGCCGCAGGCCGCAAACCGCAAACCGTAAACGGGAAACCATAAACTTTGAGAATACAGCTTGGTCCTTTCAGCTGGTGTCCATATTGTCACCACTGCCCTTCCTCTTCTCCTTTATCGACTTGACAAATTCGTCGATCGCCATGGGCCAAGCGCCATCTTCCTTCCACCAACTCAGAGACTCCCCATCAGGCTCTTTAGTCTTCATGACCAATTCGCAAACCATGTTCCACAGATCCTTAGTCACTGGTCTCTTGCTTTCAGACTCGTAGAACTCACACCACAGGTCCAGCCACTGGGTCGAAGGACTATTCCACTCGATCCCACCTTTGCCCTGTCGAAAGAACATGTTCCAGAAGTCGATGGCAGAGTCCATGGGCACACTCCGTTGACCTTCGGGTTTGGCGAGCTTGAATGCATTGCGGTAGACTTGTTTAAAATATAGCGGGTTGTTCGCCAGTTTCTTGCGGATCACATCGACATATTGTGCCTGCCGCGCTGCTGTATCGTATGCTTTCTCGATCGTGCAAACGCTTCGCCACCCGGAAACGAAAGACTCGCGCTCGAACTCGCCGATGGAGGGACACTGTAACAGTTCACAGATGCCCAGGTGAGCGACTTCGTCCAGTTCCACTCCGAGATCGGTCAAATACTTCTGAGCCCCCTCGATACCGATCGTGTCTGGGGACTCCGTGGGATTGTCTAGGGTGAAGTCAGTGGTTGGTTTTCACTTCCACACTTGGCTACCACCATACCACGATAATGGTCAAAGAGCTTGTTGAGGTTGTTCTGAAATGGAGGAACAGCGTTGTTTCCAGAGCCACTCTGGTAGAACCTGCAACGGAGTTTGTGTCAGTCACCCTTGATCGGTAACCAGTAATGCACAGACCCTGCTGCCTTGGGACGAGTTGCTTTGCCACCACTTCTCCTCCCTCTCGATGGCTTCGTCATGACTGGTGTAACAGTTGTCGACGTCGGTTTTACAAGGTCTTCCTGAGCCGCAGAAGAGGTAGCCTTGACCTTTTTGTCTTTGGGTGACTTCAAGGCCAGTGACGCAGGCGAGTCGGCGGACTTGCGTTTGGGTGGCATAGTGATAAACCGATGGATGCACAATACGCAGATGTCAAGGAGGAATAGGAACACCCGTCAACTGGAGTAGATAATGCGCTCTCTGGAAGGAGGACTGAAGGAGCTGGCAAGCTGAAGTGACCAACTGGACGCAGTGGACGCAGTGGTTGAAGGTTTAAATGATGCAACAGTCTTGGCAGGCACGAGCGCTGCCTTCACCGCAGGCAGGTGCAGGTTGAGGTGCGTGTCGGCCATCTGTGAAAGAGGTTCGGCCTCAAGAGACACAGCGCCAACAAGGCTTGAGCAGTTTTTTCATTCTGCTTGCCGTGGCCTTTGCGCAGCGTGCAATCAATTCCTTGCCAACCTGAGACTCGACAAATGGCCGTCCAGACTTGAAGCAATCCCAAGTTCCGCAACCCAGTATGTGTCTCTCAGTCCGGCATGATAAAAGAGAAATTGGCTCACTTACGAATCAAGCGCTCTTTCCACGTTCCAGTCGTGAGCTTTAAGAAACTGCCGCCATGCCCTCAGTCAGTGGCCTCCCAGAATCTCCTGTTCACATACCCTCCCAGCTATACTCTCCTTCGCTTGGGTGAAGCTGGTGAATTGGGCTATTGATGATCTTTGCGATGCAGTATAAGTTGGCATTTTCGTTAAGACCTGGCATTCCAGGCCTCCAGGCAGACTAAAAAAGATCAGGAAATGGCGGGTGATGCGGATAATGGACAGCCTTGCGGATGAAGATGGGAGATACTGGTGGCACGAGTTTTGTCGAGGTTCGGGTTTTGCGGGCTAAAAGAATAGAAGGCTGGTGTTGGGCGTATGTGACACAATTGTATGATTGTCTGCGTGACAATGAGATGATGTCTTTGGCGACCACGTTTGGCGCCGTGACTCTCAAAGAGGGCGACAAGCAAGAACGTCGATGGGGGTATAGACGGCAGGTCAAGCGAGGACCAAAGTCTCATCTAATCTAATCAATTCTACAGGGTCTGGCATCATCTTGTAACTGCGGAGGGGGTGAGGGGGAAAGTTGTGGCAGGGACGGAATAACATGCAGTGGGAATATGAACGTCTCAGAAGTTGTATATTTGTGACATGCCTGGACAGTGCACAAGGACGAGAGCTTGTATTGTGTCATAGCCACACACCAAGTCTCACTTACGCTTCTTTCTTCAATTGGACTGGAAGCAGCGCTTGACAGTGACAAGGCTGTGCTGGAATCATAGACCAATCGGTTGTTTCTGTGTGGCGTCGTGGTTGATGAATCTTGCCTTTGAAAGGACTCGGATGTGGCGTTACTGCTGCCGTAGGAGACTCGGGGAGTTATGTAAACTGGGGACCTAGCACGCCTACCAAGGCTCTACTTACCTAGGTAGGTACCTAGGTAGTAGGTACAGGTGCCTGGCGAACCATGTCGTAGGCCCCCCACCAGTGAGTTGCAGCCCCTGTAGCACAGCCCTGTCACTAAACTGTAGGCTAAACCCCTCCCTATCACTCACCTCATTGTTTGTTTGGTGAGGGACGAAAGGTGAACATCAGCAGCTCAAAAAGACCAAGCTGTACTGCTCAGGATCTTGGTCTTCCTTTAAAAAGAGATTTCCAACGTCCATCTCAAACTCCCTCCTCTCATCTCTGCTCTTCTCATCTTTTCATTCCCAACAGACAGCATCTCAATCATGGGTGTAAGTTCCATCTTCCCGTCACCTTCGAAGCACTTTACGCCCTCGACTGGCCCCGCACCAATACCAATGCTGTCCTCAAACCAGTTCATGCCCAAATCACCCTGTTCGCTCCTTGCCTCGCACATGGCTTTGGTTCTGCAATCGAACCAGATTTGTCCTGACTGATGACGCGTATAGCTGGCTTCTAAACTCGCCGCAGCACAGGCTGCCTATCCTGGTGGCCCTCCCGCTCCTGGTGGTGGTGGTCCTCCTCCTTCTGGCGGTGCTCCTGGTGGTGGATACGTGAGTCAACCTTCACCTTTGGTGAGAGCTAGCAGAGACTGACTTCCACGATTGTTGTCTAGCCCGGCCAGCAGCAATATCAAGCATATCAAGGTGGCCCTCCGGGTTCTGCTCCTGGTGCTGGAGCTCCCCGACCTGGTCAACCGGTAAGCGTGTTCCCGGTCGTTCCCAGCAAATTCTGTTTCCCAATTCCACCCCAATTCACTTTCTGGGTTGCGTCATCCCGTGCTTGTGTCCGCAAGACCGCAAACGACTTTATCCTTCTTCAACTTCTTATATCTACCTTGACACCTGCCGTCGCCAACCTCAAAGTATCCTATCGCAAAACATGAGCAAGTTCTCTCGCATCTCGCAGCAGCAGAACCAGCCGGGAGGTGCATATCCTGGTGCATCAACCCCGCAGCCACCATACCCCTCCCAACCGCCATATCCTCAGCAGCAGCAACAGCCACAACCTCCTCCATCGCCATACAATCAGCCTCCGGTTCCTCCTAGACCCAATGCATCTCCCCAACCCTACCAGCCTCCGCAGTGGCAAGCGCCTCAACAGCAACAGTCGCCGTACGGTCAACAGCTAGGACCGCCGCAGCAACAGGGAGGATATCAATCACCACAGCCAGCATATCAATCGTACCAGTCGCAGTACCAACAACCACCGAACCAATATGGTCAACAGCAGTACCAACAGCAACAGCCAGCTGGCGGATATGGATATGTTCGTCGCAGCGCCTTACGTTCTTACCTCATGCTTACACAACCGTGACTTTTCGAAGTGCGAGGCTAACATTTCTTGCTTCTAGGGTCAACAACCTCCCTACCCTGGCGGACCCGCCGTCGGTGGCCCTCCTCAGCAACAGTATGGCGGCGGTCCTCCTCAGCAGCAGTACGGCGGTGGCCCCCCTGGCGGCGCCCCTCCAGCTCCGGTCGGGAACGTAGGCGCATACAAGCAAGTTCTTCAAGCTACTATTCAAGAGAAGGGCCTCCAAAACTTCTACCCACCTGGGCATCCCATGCTCGACCAGATCGCTAACCGCGCCGCTCAACAAGTCGCTCAGTTGGCTGCAGCGTGGCGGATCTCTCCTGAAATAGCCTCTGATATTGTCAAGTTGGCACTCTACGATGTCATCCTGTACATTGATGACAGCGGTTCCATGCAGTTCGAAGAAAACGGAGAGCGCATTGATGACCTCAAATTGATCTTGTCGCGCGTCGCATATGCTACCAGCCTTTTCGACGACGATGGAATTCAAGTCCGCTTCATGAATTCACCTGACCAGGGCAATAACATTCGCAATGAGCAGCAGGTGAATGAGATGATTGCACGGACCCGCTTCTCTGGCCTCACTCCCATGGGTCGCGAATTGCAGAACAAGATCCTTGGGCCTCTTGTTCTAGAGAATGCCAGGCGTGGCAATTTGCGCAAGCCCGTTTTGGTCATCACCATCACCGATGGTCAACCTACGGGTGAAAGCTCGTCGGATGTGGCAAAGATCATTATGGCAGCGTCGAGCGAGTTGGCCCGCAACCCGCGCTACGGCAAGGGAGCTCTGGCATTCCAGTTTGCACAAGTGGGCAATGACCTGAAGGCGAGAGAGTTTCTGAGCAAACTCGACGAAGAACCCACGATTGGTGATATCATTGATTGCACATCCAGTACGTCTTTTCTTCAGGGGCCGAAGCGCACCTGCAGCTCGTTTGGTGTCATTTTTGCTGACGAGTCGACCTACAGACTACGAAGTTGAGGCTGACGAGATGTCTCGTGCTAATCCACCCGTCCAGCTATCCCCCGAACTCTGGCTCATCAAGCTCCTTCTTGGTGCTATCGACTCGAGCTACGACACCAAAGACGAGAAATCCGGTGCAAGACCTCCACAAGGTGGTCCTGGTGGCTATGGTGCTCCTCCCCCGGGACAATACGGTGGTGCTCCAGGTGGTGGGTATGGACAACCTCAGGGCGGTTATGGTGGTCCTCCTGGTCAAGGCGGCTATCCCCCACAGCAGGGCGGTTACGGCCAACCTCAAGGTGGCTATGGACAACAACCGCAGGGCCAGTATGGAAGACCTCCTCAAGGTGGACCACAGGGAGGATATCCGCCTCAGCAGGGTGGCTACGGTGCACCTCCACCACCACGCTACTAGGCAGGACCATGGAATGCTCCGGAGATTGATGTCAAGACGCGCCAGCAAACACCAGGGGACTGTGATTGTCTCGCGGGTTGTGTCCAGTGCATCCACCGAGCCAATCCCTGGGCGTAACAGGGACATACGCTTGCCTAAAGCCAGTTCATTCTTTTGAAGACGTTCGAACTGGGACTTTCACGGGGCTCTTGCCACATCAAATTCGAAAGGGGGGCAAAAGGTAAATGGAGAGATGGTCCGGCCCGAAGAACGACGGAGAGTTGTCATTGTGGGCGTGACCGGAGCTGCCATACCACGGAAATTCAGAGATACACACACAGAGTACTAGCTTCTTAGGTAGCAATGCAAGCACATCCGTTCAAAGAAAACATCTTATGGCGGCCTCACGGAGATGGGGATGGGGAGAAAGAAGCAGTAGGATACCACGATACCGTATATTCTGTTTCGTCTTTCCGCCAAGCGTGATGGGGTTGTAGTTGTTCTGCAGGAGTTGGAGTATCTCGGTCAGAACGAAGGGGCCAGTAAAGATAGTTGACTTCAGCGACACACTTGCATCCTATGTTCTACCATGGTACGGCCACAGCATACCTAGTACCGGATCAGACCATCCCAGGCAGGGATGTGCAAGGCTTTGCGGATATGGGGGAATTTCATTTTGACAGGACCGTTTCATCTGTGCGATGCTGCTGGTGGGGGGGGGATGATGATATTGTAACGTCTCCTGCAAGGACGTCCGCCGTTTTCCCATGTCGCTTCGTTCCTGTTCCTCCCTTTGCCGTTGTTCTTGCCTTTTGCATTCCTTGTTTCTTGATCGGTTGGGGCAAGGTCCGATCTAGATCTCAATCTCAACTGGTTCTCTCCCCCCCCCCAGCCCGGACAATGAATGTGGGATTGAGACATGCACAGGGGCATTTCGCCCAAAGACCGGGGCGCCTGCTTTACTTTCGCATTCCGTTCCCCCTTCTCTTTGAACGAGTGAGCAGCGTTGTGAGGACAGGATGCAGGAACGGGCGATCATGCTGTGCAACGGGTAACGCAGAATGCGATAATGGCGGTCAATGGCGATGGCATTAACTGCCCTTGCAGATATCGGCGTTGTCTTTGTGTCACGCCGTGCCTTCCATGACATGCACACGGGGTCCCCGTTTTCACCACTCGGGGTTTGTGTACGCGCATCGGGGTTCAATCCGGCTCTGGGCTGGTGCCATTGGTCTGTCGGCAAGGTCCATTGAGGTCGACTTCACCGTCGTGGTCAACGGTGTGTCCAGGTTCTCGTAAATGCTGTGTCTGCATCTCCGTCTGGGTCGTGTAAACGAGAGTTTGGCAAACTCTCATGGTCTGCCTCTCAAAATACCTTGTCCCTGATAGTCCAAGTTGGGGGTTCAGCTTGAGCTTAGCGAGAAACATGGTCTGGATCTGGAAGAATCGTGCCTCATGGCTTAACGAACCCCCAGATGATCAAAACAGCGAAGACCACCCGGAACTTCCCAATCTACGAAGTCAGTTCCCTTGTACCTACCTTTCTCAGGCGGAGCGGGCTTGGAAATTGTTCTGGAACAATTGCCATCTGGACCGTGGTCAATCAATAATGTCCTCCCGGAACCATAGCATCCACGAAGCGGATATGCGATACTTGGCTGCCCCTTACCGCTTCCCAAAGGGGAATGACTCAGAATGGTATTTTGTGTGGTACAAGGTGCAACCATTGCATCGGTAAACAAAGCACACGAGACGTGGCTTGTGGGCCAGGCAATGTTGACATGTCGTTAGCTAGGTCGTAAAGAATGTCGTATCCACCTGGAGTTCCGTTCATGATGCTTGTCCCAAGACTTTTGGTTACCAGAGCTGTACAAGTACACCGTTACTTGGTGCACTTCGCTCCGAGGGGCGAGGGATGGCGACTGGGGTAAGCTCCTTGTCTTCACGCGCCGAGACAGGGTCAAGCAGAGGATTAGCAAATGATACCGACCTTCTCAATGCGGACAACAATAAGACGTCGGAGCTGTATAGGGAGAAGCAGCAGGTGCCAAGTGGAGCGAGGAAGTAGGGCTGACAAAGGGCGGAGAATGGTACCCGCAGCAGCACCCGCAGCAGCCACGGAACTTGGGTGTGCGGATGATGAGACCAGAGTCCGAGATTCAGCCATTCTGGGGCAAGCTGCTGTGTGACAGTACAGCGACTCTTGAGACACGAGAGGGTCGTGGAGGAAGTAGATTTGAAAGTGAATTCAATAGAGGGTAATCATAAAATCATGGTCTCCAGACAGGAGGTAACGAGCGAAACCTAATGAACTTGAAGACAAAGCGAGCAGGTCTTGATTATGATGCTGAAGCCTTTCCTTCAGTGGAGAAAAAGTATCACTCGGACCAGGGCACAGGGTTTGGGCATGAAGCACCAGGCGAGTGGACTGGACCCTTGGAAGGTTTGAGAGCTGGACAGCCAGCTGCCTCACTAGTTGGGCTGCTGGGACACCGAGTTTGCGGCAATGCATCACCCTCGGAGGGAATCATGCTGAGTGATAGAAAGCCGTGAGAGATAAAGGGCGGTCGAGAATGAGGCAAAGTGGTTATTCCCTGCGTTATCAATCAAATACCGGTGGGAGAATGAATTGACGGATGACAAAGTGAGGGAGAAGTGAGGGCGCAGGGAGCAGAAAGGGAAGTGAGTGTCTACCAGACACGCGCAGATGGACCTTTCCGGAGGCGCTAGACAGATGACTAACTGGCTCACCGCTTGGCCTCTGGCGTATTGCCTCCTGCCTCCTGCCTGTGCCTCCTGCCTTTTGGACGAAATCTGCCTGACCAGGGCAGCCCCTCGTTCATGCGCGCGGTCGGGCTGCTGGGCTGCTGGGCTGCACGTCACTGGGCCACAAAGGCCAGCAGGGCTGCCCGGGGTGAAGTTTACGGGCCCCGGCTGAACCACTGAACCACTCACAACCCTTAGCGAGACCCGGGAGGCTGCTCCTTGCTGAGGATCCCAAGGGATCGCCCACCAGCCTTTGATCTTTGGGTGGCTTGCTTCGCTTTTCCGGCCCATGTCCAGCCATCTTGGCCGCTTAATGGTTCGCTGGCTTGTGCCCTTTTGGCCCTTGGGGGTCCTTTTGTCCTTTTGCTCTAGGAGGGAAGTCCCGTCATCATACTGTCTCGCTCTCCACTCGCAACTCTCTCACCGTCAAAAGCTGGTTCCCGCACATTTGCACATTTACCCATCCCTGTCTCTCCACGTGGTGGCATTCGTAAACAATGTTTCCCATTCGACACCGCACAATGTTACCTGGCATCTGGATCCCGCCATCCCTTGTTGGGGGGTTCAGATGCGTGGCTGCATTCTGATCCTGACTGCCCACTCAGGGAGCCAACGGTGAGTGAATCCAGAGTCAGAGTCACCTGCTTACAACCACATGGATCCCATATTCCAAACAGACCAGGGGTAAACGCACAGTAGTTCATATTAACCTTCAAGAGTGAGATTCGCATATATCTTTCCCATTCCCACCCACTTTGTCCGCTCTCTTCCACCGAACATCTGTGCAAAGCACGACTACTATCCACCTACTGTCGCGTGTCCGAGCGTCCAGATCTTAGACATCAATCTGCTCAAATTCCACAACCCAGACCCCTCGACAGAGCACAGGACGATATCTATATCAACCCACCCCTTCCGACAATCCCATTGTTCTCACAACCCATCACACAATGGCTCTGTCCTGCAGAGCAAAGACGGCTCTTCTGAGAGGCCTTCGTCCTCTCGTCTCTACCCAGCACCAGCTGGCCGCTACCCAGCAAGTCCTCTCGTCGGCATGCTCAGAGGAGTGTATCTACTGCGATATCTGGAAACTGGCCACACTGATTGCCTCTCATTCTCCCCTCTCTGCTCGATACAACCTCATTACGGGCACACCTACCAGCTCACCTGTCTCGTCTGCACCCTCCAGCCCTGTGGCATCCTCACCTATTGCCGAGTCCTCAACACCATACACCTCCATCATCTCAGCCTCCAAGCGAATCGAAGCACAGTTTCAGACTCAACGATCCAAGCTCAATTCCATCCTCAGTATCTGCACAGTCTCCGGGGTGGATGCCACTGAAGGTCTGAGATTGGCTCATGACAGATGTGCTGCGGCGGTGGAGGACTTGCTTGACCAGGAAGAGGATTTGGAGGAGGAGCTGTTGCGGGATCTCCAAGAACAGCAATACGACTACTCTTACAACTACGACTTGCAATACGCCTATCCAAGCGACTCGGGAGCATACGGATACACGTACGAGAGAAGACCCAGTATGGTCCACGTGACGCACTGAACGCACACATGTTTTCTTGTACCATCACTACCATTACAAGCAGCTTTCTTGGAGCAACCGGAAAAGCGATTTGGAGAGCGCAAAAAGCAAGCGAGCGATTTACTGATGCACTCCCGTGCATTTTCCTATGTTGAGGGGGCGGATATTCTTAGGATCTTCAGAAACCAGACTGGAGAGACCAGGTGTGGCTGGAGCAGCAGCCTGCTTCGGATGGCCACGGCGCTCACGATGATGAAAATTGATATGATACCCATGTATAACAGCTAGCGCACGATCAAACAGACAAGATTTTTTCTATCCTCCTCTCCTCGGTGTCTCGACGTGCCATCACTAGAAGTTCGTGCCGTCTCAGTTATTTCGGTCCATGTAACGTGTAACCGCAACACACACCCGACGATGGTGACGGCAAGGGCTGGTATTTCGACTTTTTGACTTTCTTCACATCGTCAGTGACTCAGCTGCCCCCGTGCGGGATCGGTACCCAGCACCCGGAACCTAGAAGTACCCAGCCAAAGTCCCCAGTGAGGCAGCTCGCAAGAAGTTTCAGAGGGGGTTACAACCACGGGCAGCCAAGCACATGTACTCGGTACCATCATACCACCCTTGTCTAAGCGCACTCGGTACTGGTGGACTTGCCTCATCAGGCCCAGCCGCAGTGGGTGGATGGTGGTCTTTGCGTGAGGTGGTGGGTTAAGCGAGCCCGCACCCTCTGCCGCATTTTGCTTAGTGTCCTCGCACAGCCAAAGCCAAAGCCAAAGCCAAAGCCAAAGCCAAAGCCAAAGCCACTCCTTTCCTCTGCTTGCCCCCTACGACTCTCCCTATTCGTGCCTCGCACTTTGTCAAAAGGTTCAGCCACCCCACCGACCCAGAGTCACGAATCGAGTCACGCACGCCCCTTGAGTTTTCACCCAGGACTGAGCCCTACCAGGACGCGGGGGACGGGAAATCTGGGCTCCCCATTGGCGGCTGGCATTGCTCCCAAAAGCCTCTCCCTATCCCTCCCCTTTTCGTCATCGGCTTGCGAGTCCGGGATTCCGCTAAGGGTTCTTCTGGAACTGCTGCATAGCCCATTCTACCTCGTATCTCTTTCTCTGCACAGTGCAGGAGTACCTTTGGTGGCTTGCTCGCTTGACCCAGAGTTTTGGGGCATTTGACGCGCATTTCTGACGCAATGATCTGGGACTCTAAATCTTACTCTTCTGTCATGGACGGATCTAGGCCTCTTGGCTGTCACTTGCAAAGAAGGGGGGTGGAAACTCTCCTGATGGAAAATTGAGCCATATGGACGTGAGAGTTTTTACTGCTGCGTCAGTCAAGTGAATTTGATTTCATGTCCCGTGTCCTGCGGGGCTCCGAGGGAGTGGTAGAACAATGGCCCTGGCGAGAGCATGATGAGCACTACCAAGGTACGTCCGAGAATGAGCACGAGCATGGACCATATGCATGTCAGAGAGGCTCGTGCTTTCTCCGTCCGAGTGATCGAACTGGTATATCCGTCCATATCTACCTAGGTACCTAGGTACGTACCGAGTGACTAATGACTGCATACTGGGTAGTAGCAAGGGTCTCCCATCGTAATCTCACCTGCATTACATACCCTGCAAGCGCCAGTTAGAACAGAACGCAAGACGATCATCATCACGACTTTCTCCCCGGAGTAATGCAGCTCACCACAAACAGCAAACAACAAAATAGCAAACAGCAAACGACGCAAAGGATTGAGTTCGCGCAGTGTCTGCTCGATAATGATTCCATATTCAATGTGTCCTTGCGATCTCTTTCCCTTGTTCTTGGACAGTCCTTGCCCTAGATGCCTAGGTAATGTGTGGTTTGTAAACGAAAATTTCCAAAGATGGGGAATGGACCAAGGCACAGTAATCACTATTACCAGATACAGGTGGGTGACAGGTAACACCATTGGTCTAGTTGGTCGATCGATTCATCGGTCATCACTGTTGCTGTAGTCTGCGGCCGTCCCTATCTCCTCCGTGCTCTCTCCGCTGCCCATAAACCCGTATTAGTCGTAGGCACCCTGCGCGTCCCACGCATACGGGCGTTAGCTACGTAAGAACCTGTTATGAAATGTACGAAGCACCTTGGGCACATCAATATATGTCCTACCGTGCGTGTCGCTGCTCATCATCTCCGTCATTCACCTCCACTTCCGCCTCCGTCCGCCTACATCCTGTATCCATTGGGACCCGGTGAAGATCAATGACTTCTGCCGCGATACCCGACTCGAGCATCCCAAAAGGGTCACTGCTGGTTCCACCCGTTTTCGCCGCTGGATGTTGTTAGATAATCGTTGCTCACTACTCATCCTCACTTTTGCCGTAGCGGTCCCGGTCCGCACCTCGGTGGGTGTGTGGTTCGCCGGGTACCTGTTCCCTGTGTTGTCCCTTGCCCCCTAGTGTGAATGAACTGTGGCGGTGTGTGGCTGGGGTTGCAGGTGGTTTGTTCTTAAAGAATACGCAGAATACGAGCAATTATGGTAGGTACCTATGTACATACATATGTGCACATATTGTGTCCATAGCTGCCTATAGAAGGCAAGTCGCTAGCCACCACGTCGTGACAATATCAGAAATCCGAGATCGTTATCTGTTGCAGCTCGCCCTCCATATTTCCTCGTCGCAGGAAGGGTTTTTTTTGCGGACTGTCGTCACTAATCAGTGTTTTCGGCTTTCTGTTTTTCTCTTCTTACATTCATTCCCACTCGAATCCCTTCACATTCTAGATCAGCCCTCTGAAGAGATCAGGAACCCCACTTCGCCGTTACCTTTGGCTTTTTCTCTACTCGTACCCTTCGGGCGGTTTTGTCGCTTGCCCCTGTCGGAGGATCAACGCCCATCTTATGCTTATCTACGCAGTGGCCACAAGTAGCTTGGCTGCTCCTCCACACTACCACCATCAACGCCTGTTTACACTCGGGCCAAAGAATGACAAGGGCAGGATTAGGGCAACTGCCGTTCTTGGTCTTCGTTCTCCTGTCCCTACATGATATGTCGTGAGACACACCTACAGCACATCAGCCGATACTCATGTCCCCTCCGCACCGCAGGGTGTAGCCCATTCAGAAATCTTGGGGGGAGGATGATGCGCTGGTCCAACGTGGATCCGTTGTCTACACCTCCATCGGTGCTTGGTGGTCGATCCCGAGCGATGTGCCTGTCGAGTGGGTGTTGAGGCAGGGAATGTGGGGAAGGAACGAATCCATCCCGTCAGCTGAAGTGATACGGCACCAGGGAGCCTTGGAAAACTAGTACCAGGTACCCTTGATAGTACCTGGGGGACCAGTCCTTCCGCATGTACACAGCACCGGTACTTGAGTTCAGATGGGGTTGCTCGACAGACTGAACTGCACCATGGATGTTGATGATAATGCTCACTCAGAGGAAAGATAGCCCACTTGCAGGAGCACCAGCCACCACCTTCACCATCAGCCTCCGTCCGCCCACCAGTTCCTGGACAAGTGCTCGTTGCGGCGTTATCGGGCGGCACCAACGCATGCTGCGAGACATCTCCGTGGCCCCAGAGGATCGAGATGTTACTGGCCCCTAAGCCCTGGGCCCGCCCTCTATGAGGCGCGCCGTCCTTTGTGTACAACACCGACGGTGGTTCCAGATCCCCCGGCGATAGGGTTCATTTGGGTCTCCAGATGTCTGAATGGGATCCGCGTCCTGTTGACGCTTCTTCCCTTGCGCATCCAAATCCTGTGACATGCTGGCTGCGAGCTGCGTTCTGCTCAAGTTCTTGCTCCGAGTCCCACGAGTCTGACTCGTTTGACACGTGCCAGAGCTGAATTCAACCCCGATGTCGGGTTTCATACCGACTTTCAACGAGGGTCGGGGGTTTCTATTGGGCTTGACTGACTTTAGCAAAACAGTGATCTGATCAACATGCGCAACGATGCAGTCGCGAGGCCTTCACTCATTGTCTCTTGCCACCGAGCAAGAATCGCATCTTTGCTGGCCTTCCTAGGTCTATCCGAGTCAACGAATCTGATATTGGAAGAATTTGCTCTCTTTGAAATTACATCCCGTTTGTGGAAAGAGAATGCGGTCATTTTTCCCTGGACGATGTTCAAGTCTCTCTATGGATCTGTTGATAAAGCTTGTGTATCAGCCATATGGAGTGGCTCGGAGAAACAGCGACGACGGTGACGATGAAGCTTATCCGTCGACCAGGCTCTGGTCATGGAAAAGTGCCTGCCAGACCTTAATGACGGTATTGTTCGACGTTCAGATCGCGAAATATCTGGGAAGAAACACCGGGCTTCCACCTTGCAGATGATCGGTCTCATAGATGCCTATGAGGCTTCTATGTTGCTTGCTCACTGCCTCGAATGCATATGTAAGTATGCAGCAATATGCAACAAGCGAGCCGAAGTCCGCCGGAAGATATCTAAGCCACTCGTTATGTATGATCGTCACTATCTCGACGTCCGGAACAAGGCATTTACTGGCGAGCCAGAGCAGACGACCCGCAGGTAAGACAAAGGCCCGGAGGAGGGTATTCAATGAGTTGCCACTATCAAGATCGACCGACAAGCGAATCAGGGCGCGGAGGGTATTCAGCTTGGACATGGTCATATCGCCTACCCGTGCAATTTTCCACACGGATATTAACCGCTCCAAAGTCTATTTCCAGATCAGAGTACCTTCTATGTTGTCCCGAGTGTTGCCTCAGCCGTCAGAGCTAGGACTGCACTGGCTTGAGCTCGACCTAGAGTACCCTGAGGCGCTCTGTGAGTACTGTGAGTATTCCCCTACCACCAATACGAACCACAAATTCGTCACCAAGGATTCCAGTCTCTAGCGGTTCGGAAGCAGCAACTCCATCCTGGCCATGGGAATCACTACTATCCAGCCAATGTGTTGCAGAAGCTTGGGCCGTCTGCACAGCGCGTCAACGAGACACATGGCTAAAAAAGCCGAGTGTTGAAGAACCCAGACCTCGAACAAAAATGGGACTCTGCCCAGCTTTGATAACAGGAGGTCCTGTAAGTAAGTTTCATTGGTTGGCTATAGGGAGTTCTACTCTTTGCTTGAGTACCACGAAGACTGTAACCCTGAGGAGCCCCTCGCCCGTGGAACGGCCAGATCTTCTAGAGCGCGCCACAACACAATGAGCCGGTTGGCCGGTGGGCGGGCCGGGGAGCTTGTCAACACTTCGGATAATATCGACCCCTGTTGCTCGTTCTGAAATGGTTAGAGCCGGCGGTGCGGGCTGTAGAAAGGACTCGGTAAGTCTGCAGTCGCGCAGAAAGAACTTTCTCTGGGCGGATATGTGCCTGATCTATCAGCAGCGCTTACTTCGTATTCAAGCGATATCAAGTAGCATGTATTCACACTGAGCGAAGATTTGCTTGCCCACCGCATGCACACACACCCTTTGACGCCGATATAACCACCACCAGATTTTGAACTCGAGCCTCCAGACCCCGTGGTGGACACGCAAGCAACTTGCCACAATCAGCCGTTGGTCGAATCACGGAGCCTTGATTTGCCCCATTCTAATGGAGCATCTCCACCTTGTCCATGTGGAAGTCAACATCCAGATCCGTCATAATTCTTATTATCCGGGGACCCCAAGATGCCCTCAGACTGCGGGGTACCGCATGGGGCCTTTTGCCTATAGTACCCGTGGTGTCTGAAGCGGCAAGTCCACATATCACCATGCCGTGGGACGCAAGACAGGCAATATTGCTGACAACAATTTAGCCGGGAAGATGTCATGGGGGTTCGCGATTTCAATGGAGACGGTCAGTGGAACTCACTGGCATGAATTCTATATAAAAAGAGATCGCCGGCGCCGCCGAGCGGCTTTTGTCTCTCAAGTCATTTCCTCATTCACCGGTATTGGTATTGTGTGGCAGGCAAAAAGCTGTCAACACCATTCTCAAGATGGCGACAACACAACAGGAAATGTCAAAACTGATGGAAAACGTCACTCCGTGGTACAGGGATCCTGGCCGGAGGAAACTCTACGCCCTTTTGGTGATCGCGCTTCTCTCGGCCGCGACTAATGGATACGATGGGTAAGAGGACAGACAGACCTTCTGATCGTTGACCTATTCTAACGACGTCCAGCTCGCTCATGAACGGAGTGCAGTCTATCACATACTACGAGAATTGTACGGCATTTCCTGATATTATAATTGTGGGCAGATCGTTAATTCCGGTTCAGACTTCCATCACCCTCGTGGGTCAACGCAGGGCTTACTGAATGCTATACAACCTGTGGGAGGGGTAGTCAGTAAGTACACCCGTGATCGGACAGTTGCTTCTGCTGGGATGCTAATGCTTTCCCAGGTCTTATCCTGGCCCCCTACTGTGCTGATTATGCCGGGCGCAAATTCACGATTTTTCTCGGCTGCTTGATTGTGGTCATCGCTGGTCTCATTCAGTGTTTCGCCGTGAACATTCATATGTTTACTGCTGCTCGTTTTCTGAGTAAGAAGCCGTGCAATCTTCGACTCTCAATCCTCTGGCGAAACTCAACTCACTTCTTCTGATAGTTGGCCTCGGATCCGGCATCTCTGGTTTGGCTTCACCGCTCCTTATCACCGAGCTGGCTCACCCTTGCGAGCGTGGGAAGATCACCGCCCTATACAAGTAAGTCTCTCATTACCCAGACCGTGAATCTCCGGACTAAATCGTCTTGCAGCACTCAATACTACTTCGGTGCCTTCCTCGGAGGCTGTAAGTTGGGATGAATCCATACTTGGGAAAGTTGTCCACTGATATATGTCTTGCAGGGATCACTTTTGGAACACTCTACATCAAGTCCAACTGGTCATGGAAGCTTCCCAGCTTGCTGCAATCCGCGCCTTCGTTCGTGCAGTTGGTCTTGGTCATCTTGCTGCCAGAATCTCCTCGTTGGCTCATGTCTCGAGGCAAGGACGAGAAGGCCCTCCACCTCCTCGCCAAGTACCATGCCAACGGCGATCGGGACGACCCCCTGGTCCGTTTTGAGTATGCGGAGATGAAGGCCTCGATCGTCCGCGGCGAACAAAAGGGACGCTGGTCCGAACTGTTCAGGACTCGTAAGTCATCACACACTGCCTCCCGAAATGCCCGCTGACATGTCTGCTCTCTCCACCAGGTGGTAACCGCTACCGCGTCTTCATCTGCCTCTGCTGCGGCGTCTTCTCTCAGTTCTCCGGCACTAGCTTGACGGCATACTACCTACACAACATCCTGGAGGCCATCGGCATCGACAGCCCCAACTACCAGAACATGCTCAACGGCTTCATCCTGATGGTCAACATGTTTGAGGCGTGGTTCTGGGCCTGCATGGTCGACCGGTTTGGGCGGCGGCCACTCTTCTTGATCGCCTCGAGCGGCATGTGCTGCACGTTCGCCATCTGGATTGCCTTGACGGCCACGCAGCTCCAGCATCCCAAGCAAGTGGGGTTTGGAAAGGGTGTCATTGCCATGATCTTCTTCCACAACTTCTTCTATAACTTTGCCTGGTAAGTTTTTACACTTTGGTTGTGTATCATGCAAACTCTTGTTTCGACCATCGCCGCTGATGAACGGTGTGCAGGATCTCCCTCAACGTCGCCTACCCCCTCGAGATCCTCAGCTTCAAGATCCGCGCCAACGGCCTGTTCATGCAAGGCCTCGCCACCAACGTCTGCCTGTTTTTGTCCCAGTATCTGATCCCGATCGGCATCGACGCGGGAAGCTGGAAGTTCTACTTCTTCTTCGAAGGCTGGCTGCTCATCCAGCTCGTCACCGTCTACTTCTTCTTCATCGAGACCCGCGGCGCCACCCTCGAGGAGATCAACCGCACCTTTGACGGCGTCGACGCCGTCGAGGAGATCAAGCAAAAGGCCACCGAGGCCATTGGGGTTGCGGACATCACGGAGATTGGCGGGCCCAGGAAGGGCGATGACGAGGACGGTGTTCCTGGCCGGGTCACGCATGTGGATGAGATTCACGAGAAGTCTTCCTGACAAAGGGAAACGTTAGTTTTTGGACCGCCTCCCGTCTTCCCGCGAGGATGTAATAAGACGACGCTGCGCGTGGGTGACCTGGGGAATAGCCCACCACCGACTGGACCCCTTCGCAGGCCTGGGAGGATTGGAACTGGATGGGCCGGTAGTATGTTCCGTCACCCACAGCCGCGGGGAAACGGGTGCAAGGTTTCAAGAAAATCACCAGGAGTATCACAGGGTATTTTAGCCTATTTACCCAACCCCCTACCCTCCGAGCCTCTTCCTTGATAAGCTTGATATCGGGTGGTTGAGACTTCGCTCTAAAGTTAATTACCCTCGTGATCTAAATCCCGACCGGATGTGAGAACCATGGAGCTTTGCTCACGGACTCACAAGACAAATCTATCGATATAGGTATCTCCTCTCCAATTTCTCGATCCTGGGTGGGGCGTGTTGCAGGGTTGAAAAGATGTATGACACCGCACCTAACGCTGTTTGCAGGGTCTTATTCTAAGTAACCGGGTGTGTAGGCAAGAGCGTAAAGCGCTCATGTTACATTTTTCTTTTGCCCCCAAGAGACTCGACCCCAGAGACTTGGGGACTTTTTGGGGCGCCTTCGTTGCAGTGTAAGGGAATGTATGGCCGTGCACAAGCTTTAACACTTCCCGAATGAGTACATGTATAGTATAGCCTCACCACCTGCAGTCGGGAGACGGGTGGCCCATAATAAATAATACCCGACATACGGTGCCAGCTCGACCACCTGCAATCAAGCGAACTACCTGGGTAATTAATGGGAATTTCTTTTTTTTGGGCTCGTCCTGTGCGATGTCCTGGCGCATGGCGTTTTGAGGATTGCAATTGGTACCTAGGTACCTAGCAAGCTAGGTATGTTCTGGCGGTATTGCCAAATAGTAGAGATGTTGTTTCTTTACAATATAGGCCAAGTCAAAAGAGCTGTATAGCGCCCATCGCCTCCACCCTTTTCTACGCTCCATAGGTGTGGGGTATGAGGTATTTCATATTATCTACCTAGGGTAGGTACTGGACCGTGCTAAGATCAGACGTTTGATATACCAAGCTCGAACGCTGGACTCGTCGCATGTAAGGGCTGGTCTGGAGTCGTCCAGACGGACACCTTGGCAGTCCTCTGCTCAAGAAACACCCATCCCTCGTTGCTCATTTCGCCTGTCCGTCTTATTGGACCACCATCTCCAGCAACCCATCAGATCCACCTGCGTTGGATGTGTTAGTTTGGATGCCGGGGGTTTCGAGATTTCGCTCATATGCTGCTCTGGCATCGAAGCCGGCAGAGGCAAGAGGGGAAAATGACCAAGTTCAACAGCATTCAGAGTTCTTTATTCATGTCAGCGTGTAGGGATGAGTTTGACCTCAAGACATCCTTCCTCTTCTCTCCGTTCGCCGACACGCGCTTGGAAAGGACATGTTGATCATACGGGTTTCCATGCTTGGCGGGCCGGTCTTCGAGCTGAGGGCGTAGTGCCGGGAAGCAAGCATTGACAAAGGGTATGTCCTTCATCAACCATCGGACACGGCCATTTCCCTACACCCATGCCGATGGGACCAAGCGTAGAGAACTTGTAGCCTGAGAATTGGGTGTACCTCCACGTCATGACTGAATCGAGCTCCAATTCGGAATCTTGAGGGTCTGTGTTGGATGACTGCACTCCGCGACGTGGAGATTGCAGTACTCGTCACTGAATCAGACGTGACGTCCATGGGACAGGAGCATTGGCTAGAGTTTCCTCCGTTGGCCAGGAAGCGTAACAGTGGGACTCGGTATTCCACAGCCAAGGCCGGCAGTCTCACGAAACATTGGTGTCGTCAACGTCCATTGCACTGACCTCCCGTACCGTCGACGTGTTCTTGTCAAATACAGCCCTTAGCCCAATCCTGAATTCGGACATGCGCACACCCAGAATTTTCAAGATGGAGGTCTGCCGTGAGTCGAGCGTGTCCCCTTCCTTGCAGACAAGATATCCCTCTTCTTCGTCCATTGACCCTTCCGGATGTTCTTCTAGCACCACCTGCCCCTTGACGAGGCGAGTCGGAATGCCGAGTTTTCGAAGGGTTGGTTCAATCTGGACCGGCAACGGATCATCCTCGCCGCCTTCGACGCCGTACTGCGTATGAATTTCTCCCGGTGGTATCCTGACGTCCCGAGTCGCGACGCTGCCACTGCGAGCAAAGTCCTGGTTCAGCCAGTCTGCAAAATATTCTTCGATGTCTGTAGGTTTCTGGTTTGTGAAGAGAAGGCCGACTTCGCCTTTCACATACGGCGCCAATGCACTGACCCCGGGTACGCATTCGGTTTCTTCCGTCTGCCCTAGTCCCACCATCAAGACTTTGTTCTTTCCCATCATTATCCTTGAGTCACTGAATTCCGCTCTGACCTGTTTGAGAAAATTGTTGCGGGTGTTTTGTACGTCAAACACCCAGATGTACGAGTACTTTTCTGCGGCATCTTGAACATTTGCGGCGAGCCGGCGGACCTGCTCTTTCCTGTTTTTCCGCACCTTTGACGTCGGGACGACTCTGTTTCGCTTTGACGGAGGCATGGTGAGGTATGGGATTGAGAGGTATGGCCGAGAGGGGTCTAGGACAGGAAGGTATTTGGTGTGGTCAAGCGATGTCCGGCTTTCCACTGCGTCGAAAAAATAAATTTCACAAGTGCAAGCCAAGAGGAAGGTAAGCCGGGTCAACTAACCCCTTTCGGTCCAGATGTTGAGAGGCTAGGCCCAGAATGGAAACTGCGACATTGTCGATTTTGTTTACTCCAGATTCTCCATCCTCGTTCAATCAGTTCCGTTCAGTCCGTCACCTCCACGGCCACAACAAGCGCTTGGCCAGCTTCAGGGGAGGATCTAAGACACGGGCCAATCCTTCAATCCCTCTCTCAAGAGCGTCTTCCACACTTACGGACCTCGGAATACAACATGGAGAACCAGACGTCTCGCAGGGTATCTGCGTCCCCAACACAAAATTACCTGGTAGCATACAATGCCATCTGCCTGGCACTGTGGTCCGTCATAACCCTCCGAGCCGTTTTCCTCATTCCTACTCTCTTCGCTCTCGGAAAGCCCCAAGGCCTTCACGACGCCCTCTTTCCTCTTCTCAAATGGACTCAGACGATAGCCCTCCTCGAAATCCTCCATGCTACAATCGGCCTCGTGCGGGCCAGTCCCATTACCACCGCCATGCAAGTCGCGTCGCGCATATTGGTTGTCTGGGTTGTTCTGCAGATGTTTCCGCAGATTGTTGCGACGACCAACAGCTTTGGAAAATCGGTGCCAGGATCGACAACAGGGCCTATTGCTTTTGCGGGGATATTGATGGCTTGGGGAACGACAGAAGTCATCCGATACGGGTTTTTTGTATGGAAGGCAGCCATAAGTGAACGAGTTCCCGCAGGCCTTACGTGGCTCCGATACAATACCTTTTTTGTCCTGTACCCCATTGGCATCTCCAGCGAATGTCTGCTCATGTACCTGGCATTGACCCCGGCAGCAAAACAAGGAAAGCAGGTCGACCTGCTGATGAAGATTGTTCTTCTTATTTATGTGCCAGGAAGCTATATTCTCTACACTCACATGATGGCTCAAAGGCGCAAAGTCTTGAAGGGTAAGGGAAAGTCTGCATGAGACACGCAGGAGTCGCTGGAACCCTTGGAAGATGGCATACCAGGTGCTTACGGGTATGATGCATGGTGAATACAGCCTTCAGGCCGCACACCGAGCAACGACTAGGCAAAGGCATGTCCAGACCAAACAGTGCTTCAATGCCTGGAGCGCAAGGCGTCCCTCCAAGCTGCGTGTGGTCAAGTGAGCTGGATGATCCAACGCCGCAGAGGCCATAGCCGCCTCGAGGGGTCAAATGAGAATGCTGTCCTACGGATCGACTTGGACCTCGAACCCGAAGTCCTCGCGGCTTGGGTTTACGGAGAGAGTGATATGACGAGGACTGAATTGAGGTAGATTTCAGTAGCCGCAGAATGAAGTCTTTCTATTCGCACCGGCCACTCCGAATCACGATGCCTTGGTTTGCAATGTCACCGCTGCCAACACGCTCGAATGCGTAATAACCGTGCGCGACTTTGGCACCTGCTCGGCTGATGAGTATTCTGGCTTCTTCGAAGACGGTCCGAAGCCAGAGTGTGCAGGCAACATGTCTACCCTCATGTATGTGTCGTAAAGATATAGCAGGTGAATGGAAGCAAATCGTCAGGAAATAGATGGGAGTTCGAGAGGAGCCAAGTACAATTTCGGGACAAGGCTGAGCACCGAGGGGGCGAGGGGTGGCCATCTTCTATCTTGGCAGCGGGGAGCCTCGCCCAATATTTGCGAGGCGCCTGTGTGCGTCATTCAAGTTCCTTAGGATTTTCTGTGCGCCGCTCTCCGCGCTGTAGCCAGAATCCTCCTGCGCCTGGACCATTCTCGCCGTTTTGGGGGTTAAGAGGGAGAGACCTGATTTACTTGCAGTCGCAGCTCGCTCTTTCAACCCAGTCTCTCCTTTAGCAGGCCAAAGGGGAAAATGCCCCCAATCCCACCGTCGCGCCTGGTCGCGCTACAATCCAACTCCCAGAACATCCGCAACATCTGTATTCTCGCACACGTCGATCATGGCAAGACATCTCTCACAGACTCGCTCATTGCTACCAATGGCATCATCTCCCCCAAGATGGCGGGTAAAGTCCGCTACCTGGACTCAAGACCGGACGAACAGATACGGGGGATTACCATGGAGAGCAGCGCCATCAGTTTGTACTTCAGCATGATGCGCAGGCAAAAGGAAGGTGAAGAGGCGAAGAAGGAGGAATACCTGATAAATCTAATAGACAGTCCTGGTCACATTGACTTTTCGTCAGAGGTCAGCACGGCTTCAAGGTTATGCGATGCCGCAGTTGTCCTCGTTGATGCGGTCGAAGGCGTGTGTTCACAGACCGTCACAGTGCTTCGACAGGTATGGTTAGAGAAGCTGAAACCTTTACTCGTCATCAACAAGATCGACAGGCTCGTGACCGAACTGAAAATGACTCCAGGCGAGGCATACTCACATCTGGAGCGAGTCCTCGAGGGCGTGAATGCTGTCATAGGAGGCTTCTTTCAAGGCGAGCGTATGGAAGAGCATCTCATGTGGCGGGAAAAGATCGACCAGGAGAGAGCCGCCAAGGAACAGCGGAAGCAGGATGCCATGAGCGACACCGCTTCCGAGGCCGACCTGGATCAACAGTTCGAGGAGCGGGACGACGAGGACCTCTATTTCGCTCCGGAGAAGAGCAATGTCATCTTCGCCAGCGCAATAGATGGGTGGGCATTTACCGTCCGTCAATTTGCGGGCATCTATGAGAAGAAGCTAGGTATCAAAAGATCCCTTCTGGAAAAGGTGCTCTGGGGTGACTTCTATTTGGATCCAAAGACCAAAAAGGTACTCGGTCAGAAGCATCTTAAAGGAAGAAATCTGAAACCAATCTTTGTGCAACTTGTGTTGGAGCCTATCTGGCAAGCATACGACGCCACGGTTGGCATCAATGGCGCTCGGGGTGATCCAGCGCTGTTGGAGAAGATAACCAGGTCTTTGTCTATCAATTTGCCTGCCCACATCATGAGGTCGAGGGATTCCAAAGCCATCTTACAAGCCGTCTTTTCCTCATGGCTGCCACTCTCAACAGCCCTTCTTGTCTCTGTCATCGAATACTTGCCAAGCCCTCCCACTGCCCAAGCAAGTCGGTTACCGGAAATGATTGAGGATCTGGTCAGTTCAAAGAGTATTGACCAGTCTCTGAAAGATTCCATGATCAATTTCGACACCTCTAGCTCTGCACCAGTTGTGGCGTATGTGAGTAAGATGGTTGCCATTCCCGAGAGTGAACTCCCCTCCAAGCGACGGAAACTGGGCACCACCTTAACAGCAGACGAAGCCAGGGAGCTCGCCCGACAGAAGCGTGCTGAAATCGCCAGAGCGCAGGCTGAAGCAGAAGGCGGGAACGGTGTGGATAGTATAACGAATGGACTGAACACGGCCAGGATAGGCGAGGAGGGCGAAGAAGGGACGACGCCAGAGCAAGCGGAGGATCCAGAACACTTGATCGGGTTTGCCAGACTTTATTCAGGGTCGCTCTCGGTTGGAGACGAAGTCTACGTCCTGCCACCCAAATTCAATCCAGCTTTTCCTCATGCTTCCCCAGAGCCGAAGAAGGTGCCCATCACGGCCCTCTATCTCCTCATGGGCCGATCATTAGAGCCGCTGGACAAAGTACCAGCAGGAGTGGTGTTTGGAATCGAAGGACTGGAAGGCCACATTCTCAAGACCGGCACGTTGTGCTCGCAATTAGAAGGGGCTATCAATTTGGCTGGTGTCTCAACGCTTAGCCAGCCTATCGTCAGAGTTGCCCTTGAACCCACGAACCCAATGGACCTAAACAAGATGATCAAGGGACTGAAATTGCTTGAACAAAGTGATCCTTGTGCTGTCTACGAACAGATGGAGAGTGGAGAGCATGTCATCTTGACCGCCGGGGAGCTGCATCTCGAACGGTGCCTCAAAGACTTGCGAGAGCGATTTGCAAAATGTGACATTCAGCCTGGTGAACCCATCGTACCTTATCGAGAAACCATCGTGAAGGCGGAAGAAATGGAACCCCCGAAGAATAAAGATCTCCCGCGAGGCACGGCGATCGCGGTGACTGCGTCAAAGACGGTTTCTGTCAGACTAAGGGTTCGACCTCTGCCGTCAAATGTAACGGAGTTTCTAATCAATAACGGAGCCTCGATCAGGAGACTATACGCGGAGAAGCAAGCACAGGAGGAAGGGACCACAAAAGACTCCCAAGAGGTTGAAAAAGAGGAAATAAACGACCTGGGCAACGATGCTGGGGGACAGGAAAGGGGCCAACTTTCGCTTGAAGAATTCCGAAATCAACTTCAAGCAGCTTTCGACGAGGTGAAAGAGGACAAGGAAGTCTGGGCAAAAGTTGTGTCCAGGATATGCAGCTTTGGTCCTCGACGGGTGGGACCCAATTTATTCATCGACGCGACCGGAGAACATACCTGTAAGCGGTTCTTGTTCGAGCAGCACGAAATCGTCGAGAGGGAGGGCGATGCAAATGGGACCAAAAGCAGCAGCGACGCCGTGGGTAAGCAAGATTTCTCCGACACAATCGCTTACGCGTTCCAGCTGGCGACTTCGCAAGGCCCCCTCTGTCGCGAACCTATGCAGGGTGTCGCCGTCTTTCTCGAAGAGATCAGTCAGCAGCAGCAGCAGCAGCAGCAGACTGCACCCACCACCTCCTCCGACCCTTCTTCCAACGGCAGCAGCGTCGGCGACGATAATGACCCTTCATCATCCTCTGCGCTAGAATCAGGCCGCCTGACAGGCGAACTGATCACCTCCGTGCGCGAAACCATCCGCTCCGCCTTCCTCGACTGGTCCCCCCGCATCCTGTTGGCAATGTACAGCTGCACGATCCAAGCCACGCCCGAAGTCCTAGGCCGTGTCTACTCCGTGCTCACACGCCGACGGGGCTCCATCCTCTCCGAAGCGCTGCTCGAAGGCACGCCGTACTTCACCATCAGCGCGACCTTACCTGTAGCCGAGTCATTCGGGTTCAGCGACGAGATCCGCAAGCGCACGTCGGGCCTGGCCCAACCGATGCTGCAGTTCGTCGGGTTCGAGGTCGTGGATGATGTCGACCCCTTCTGGGTGCCCCGCAGCGAAGAGGAGCTAGAGGACCTGGGCGTGCATGGCGAGAGGGAGAATGTTGCGAAACGATACGTCGATGCTGTGAGGAGGCGTAAGGGTTTGCTTGTTAGGGGCACCAGGGGCGTGGGGAGGGATGCCGAGAAGCAGAAGACTCTCAAGACGAATTGATGTGAATAGCATGAATACGAATGCTACTACAGGTACTTGTTTCGCTGTTTATATCTCGGAGCTACCTGGGTATGTAGACAGACAGATACTGCAGAACCCTCGTGAATACCTAGAGAAACCAATGCGAATCCTACAAGGAATGCTCGTCTCGAAATCCATGTGAAAAATAGATGCGCTTCCCCAATTATTTTTCTCTCTTGAAAATATTCATCTCCAACCAGATTTTCCTTCGCATCGTCCAGGTATGTATCTCGTCACGAATTTGGACATTTTCATCCTGTTCATGTGTATTCAACATGGCGCAAACATTCTCATCATGCGTGGTAACTCAAAAGTTCCCGACTCTTTGGTGTGTATATGATGTGTCGGTTGTCCCAGTCGTCCATGAGGCTGTGCCTTTTCCCTTTCCCCTTGCTTTCCCTTTTTGACACTTTTCATATCTCGTCTCCATAAATCAGCTTTACCATTGAAGATCGTTGTGGAAGCTTATCTCGGCGCTCTTTTGTTCCCTGATGGAGGCAGATATGTCCGGCTGGTGAGGTCCCCTCTCCACACTGGCCGGCTTCTTCTTAGCAAGGTCTCGAATCTGAGGCTTGTCTGATCGACTGACTGAGTGGTTGAGCGTTCATTGGATGTCCGTTCGTATTGTTTCTCTCACAGGCCACATATTCCACTCAGCCTCACTTCCCTTCAATTAGGCCCGCGTAGGCATGTCGCTGCCAGAGCACAAGTCGCTTCCCATAGCATCTCGGGACTCGACCGGTGCGCCTGCGCATTGCAGGTGACTTGTGGTCGCCGTCGAAGCAGATCCTGCATTCCTGTCCCACGATCCAGACATCAAACATGAGACATTGAAGGACTCGGTTTCAGGGTCCTTGGTGATGGCCTCACGGTTCTTCCACAAGTTGTGTTATTTGGACTCCTTGATCTCTTCTCAGTCAACAGACCCGGTCTTCATTCTCTCAGTGGACGGAACCCCCATGGGCGCAGTCCTTCCTTTGCATTGCTCACGACGGAAAGCTCAATCCGGTGGACAATGTGTTCTGTGCTGGCCCTCCGAAGACATCCACAAGCAGGTTTCTGAAGAGACCGAGAACCAGAACAGACCAGATGTGATGTTTCGAAGCGTTGGTCGGCGACCCTTGGCAAGGTTTGGAAAAGACGAAGGACGCGGTGAGAGAGGGTTCGGTTGTGACATGACAAGAATCCAACGGCGCCGGCCATCCGTCGTCGGCATGAATTCCCGCTTTTCGAATACTTCGCGCGCGAGAGGGATTCCTCGTTCTCCTTTTACCATGCTGGAGATCTGTCCTCGTGCTGCTGGTAGGAGATGGGTGGGAATTCGAAGAGCGTCAAGCGCAGCCTAACGCTTCAATATCCTCCAAGCACTCCTTGCAGTCCAATGTCTATGAATTTTCCTTCCCAGGCACCTTCTCCATCAGCGGTATCGCTTCCCGCAGTATTTGCTCTGCCTCTCTGAATTCCTCTAGCTCGTAGAGTACCAGAGCGAGGTCATACATAGATGTCAGTGTCTGGTTATGTTCCTTCCCATACACCTTCTCCGTCAGCGATAGCGCTTCCTGCCCTATTCGCTTTGCCTCTTCGAATTCCCCTTGGGTACAGAGTACCCCAGCCAGATGATTCATAGAGTCCAGCGTGTCTGCATGTTCCTTTCCCAGTATCTTCTCTCTCCCTTGTAACGTCTTCTGGAGTATCTTCTTCGCCTCTTCGAATTCTTCTAGTTTAT